CACGTAGGTAAAAAAACAAATTAAAATAAAATAAAACAATTAAAACACGACGTTTCGGCCAGAACACAAGTGGCCTTCTTCAGGTGAAGGAACAGAACTGTCGGGACGACAGCACTTCAATGAACGCTGCTAAGATTCACTGCGTCTTTTAAGCTCGGTGGGAGGAGCAGAGCGCCTTGACAAAGGAGTTTACATATCAAACATTAAACTAATTTTCAATGGTACAGTATATTTTTTCAAGTAGTGGTATCCCAAACTTTCGCAGCTGCTTAAATTCCCTTTTCACACCATCAATATATAAACCCCCCCTCCCCTCCCCCCCTCGCCGACCTGCACATGTTCACCCCCTCTACACCGTTCATCATGCTAAGTCCGCCAATTAAATGCTAATTTTTATGCTAATTCCTTTGTCAAGGCGCTCTGTTTCCTCTCACACAGCTGAAAGGTCGCGGTCTGAGCTTGGCTGTGTTCACTCCAGCGCTGTCCTCTAGACAGTCTGGTCCCTTCACCTGATGAAGGCCACTTGTGTTGTGGCCGAAACGTCGTGATTTTTGTTGTTTAATTTTTTACCTACGTGACTTTACCGAATAGAACCAAAGAGTGTGGATCCTTGCAGTTACGAAAGCTTTAAATCTAGAAGTGAACGGGACACTCACCCTACGACTTGCAGACGTCTCAGAAGGGGCATGGGGTGAATGTGAATGCGGTTGCGATGCGACGCTGTCTGTGCGCTGCGAGATGTACAGCACAGTACAACAAAAGAGACGGACAGCTGATCAAGCTATGACACAGCGGCACGGGTGGCCACGGGTGATGTCGTAATGCGGACCCCATGCTTACAAGGGAATCCTCAATTTTCTAGGCCGCGGTTGGTACATTTCGCATACAAATAATAAACCGTGTCCACGTGAATCCGCGGTTAGTGAGGGATTGCTGTGCTGTGTTACAGGGTTAAATCCACGTAATTTTTGGTCGTAGCTGTTTGTTGGATCGTGCAGCCCCTTTGAGATTCACCAAATTGGATCACAGTGCTTGGTGTATTGGCCACCACTGCTCTAGTGGCTGTGCATAATTCTAGATTTGAAGCTTTAGTGACTGCAAGAGTTCATACTCTTTGGTTTTATTCGGCAAAGTGACGTAGGTAAAAAAACAAATTAAAATAAAATAAAAGAAACAATTAAAACACGACGTTTCTGCCACAACACAAGTGGCCTTCTTCAGGTGAAGGAACAGAACTGTCGGGACGACAGCACTTCAATGAACGCTGCTAAGATTCGCAGCGTCTTTTAAGCTCGGTGGGAGGAGCTGAGCGCCTTGACAAAGGAGTTTACATATCAAACATTAAACTAATTTTCAATGGTACAGTATATTTTTTCAAGTAGTGGTATCCCAAACTTTCGCAGCTGCTTAAATTCCCTTTTCACACCATTAATATGTAAACTCCCCCCTCCCCTCCCCCCCTCGCCGACCTGCACATGTTCACCCCCTCTACACCGTTCATCATGCTAAGTCCGCCAATTAAATGCTAATTTTTATGCTAATTCCTTTGTCAAGGAGCTCTGTTTCCTCTCACACAGCTTAAAGGTCGCGGTCTGAGCTTGGCTCACGAGATCAGCGAGGTATTGAGGTTCATTTGTGGCAAGCACTTTGTGTAATGAGTATGACCTTATGTATTCACTTGGCAAATGGAAGGCAATGCAGCTCGGTGAGCACTGGACAGACATGGTCGGGTTTTGCAGCACCCCGTCACGTCACGTGCAAGATAATTTTGTACACGCTGCAGCTTGCTAATGTTTTTGGCAGACGTCCCGTAGAGTAGTGAGTTGCATAATCGAGCATTGTCGATACTACGCTACATGCCACCGTGTTGGCTGTCACGACTCAATGTGTCGTACAGCCCTGATATGAAAATTGCAGGACCTGACTATATTTTGCACGCGGTGATCAAACGACAATATTCCTGTCGAGTATGGTGCCGAGGCTTTTTAGATGAGTCGAAAACTGAATCCTGGAGTCTCAGACCACCAGCGTATGAATGTGCTGTTGGCTGCCAAAGGTGTTTGAAAATCCGTATGCCCTCACCTGCCCTGTGTCATGTAAACAATATATTGTGGCAACTCTAGTGCCTGGTTTGGTAAATCGGGGCCCTGCATACTTTAGAGTGCTCATGGGGGCGTTGTATTAGTGGCGGCCGAACAGTCACGAGTGAGGGCAATGAATGACGTGGGTGAGTGTGGCGACGTGACACAATCAGTGCCTTTTGAGATAAACGTTTTTACGGGTCAAAGTTTGTACGCCAATCAGACCACTCTCTACGAGCCTTGCCTCTAGGCACCTGATCCAATTGAAGTTCTCTTTCATAGCCCCTTTGTCAATCCACTGCTGGTTGAAGGCCTCCTAAACCATGATCCAATGTTGTTTGGTGAATTAAAGCAGGGATAGGGTTGCCCCATTTTTCATTGCAAACCAAACGCTGACCTTTTTTATCAGTATGTTTGACAAAGCCGTGAAGTTTACGGAAATAAAGTTCAACACAATACTTGTACCAGATATCGGTACAAATCAAATGCTGCCACCCTGAACACAGATGCCAATAGCCAGAGTGCTTGGGTCAAACTCAGACAGGCAGCAACCCTAGGTGGGGAGCATAGGCGTGGTAACATGAGTAGAGTACAACATCTAATTTCCCAGCACTGTCCCTCTGCTGTCCACACCGCAGCCCCACAGCCTCTGTATAACACGTGTTCATGCACGGTGGTTGCCAATCCAAGAACTGTCCAGGCTCAAACCACACTTAGCTTCAGAGATCTGACATCATGGAGAGATCTGCAATTTCCTCATGCACGCCAAGGATGCATTACATCATCAGTGGGTGATGTAAGGTCAATTGCTACTGGAAGCTTCAAAGCGAACGAGGAACAATTGTCCTCTCTATTGCCTGAATGGAGACCAGGGTTCTTCATTGCAAGGCCACCGTAGGCCACTGACGGCCCCTGGTGGCCTTGAGTGCGGCCCCTGACGTGTGTTCCCCTGACAATACACAAAGAGTGACAACACCACCCATCATCGTGCTGCTGTCAAACCCAACAATGATTTCAAATCAGTGCCAGATTAAGCTAGTGCGGGGCCTGTAACATATATTATAAAGGGGCCATAAAAATAAATAAATATTAAAACACTTTTTTTTACGTGCCTCGTAAATTGTATTTTTCCATTGGCTATACTGCCAGATAATACGACAAATCGCTAAACTTAAACACCCAGTCGTTCATAAAAGTTGAAGGTGGTATAGTACTATAGTAATAGAGCAAGTGCAGAATCACTGAACCGGATTTAGCGCGGGGCCCTTGAAAGTGCGGGGCCCGTAGCTACTTATGTAGCTACTTTTGCTACTGGGATAATCCGGAACTGTTTCAAATGTGTGGCGGTCCTCACACTGATAATGTCTCATCGGCGAAATTACCAGCACCCCCCCACCTCTGAAAATTGTCGATTACAATTGGTGTAGACAATGAAGCAAAGTCAACGGAAAGTCTCCCTTTGTTTTGTTTCAGTTATTAGCCACGTGCCCACTGAGCCACGTGGCCGATTATATTGTACAAAATGGCGGCAGGGTGGCACAGTGGGTGGGCACAATGGCTTCTTCACTCTTGCGTTGGTGGTCACCTTAACCTACACAATGTCCGCACAGTAACAATGTTCGCAGCTTGGTGGTTGATTCAAGCTGACGCTGGTAGGCAGCCCGCAATGATTAAACACCTCCTTCATTTGGCACATTACCATGTTCATACTCGTAAGTTGATTTTCATTTTTCAAATTCAGCTTTCCCCAAGCACTGCAACCTGCTCTCGTCTGCCTCGTCATTGCATGATTTGGTTACCGCTTCGACAAGTGCCTTGGGTGTGTATGCACTCTGGTGTTTTTGTTTTTTTCAGTTGGGGTCTCCTGCAACAGATGTCCCCCATTTGTTTCGAGACCTTGTTGTGGATCGACAAAGACATGGAGGGCCGTGCACGTACACCTAGGTGTTTGTGCGTGAAGGTCTTCCACTACCACAACCGCCTCTACAGGACTATAAACAGTCCTAGACACTTGCACGTGGTATGACGAGGCTTTGTTTACGGTGAGCCCTTTATCGCCCCCGACCTCTGATAGGGGCAAGGCAGCGATGACGGATCCATGAAGCCCACGTGAACTTTGGTCGCGTGGTGCGAGTGATGTCGATCCGACCTGTCACGGCACTGGTAGATGGCGGAATTCACTCGTGGACCTTTTCGGAGTCTTGGACTTGAGGTTGAGCCACCGCTATCAGGTTGGTCATCTCCAGAAAGTTGCGACATTTACTCCCCTGACCAGTACATCATATCTGTCGAGCGGCTATTTAACAGCGCGAAGAGTGGGGACCAGGATAAGACCTGCAGCAGATTCGCTCCCAGCCGCACTGAACAACCGAGCGAAGTTATACCTTCCACCAATTGTGGTAAATGTAATTAATTGACAACTCAGCTCAGCGCTCACACGCGAGTTATCGATCCAGTACAGAACAACAACTCTTAGAATATCCAATTCGTAACAAGAAGTAACTGGTGGTTAGCGCACCGTGCTAAGAAACCGTTGTTCACCGCATCCGCATATTACAATTTTTTTCCCATCGACAGGTCGTGTGTGGTGGGGTAAAGTGTGGGCACTCACAACCCCATTCCAAGACGTCTGAGCAGCGTAGTTGAGGTTCTCTAGATCTTCCTCCGGCGAGGGCGACCTAAATATTCAAACACAAATTTTTAACTTGCATAGTAAAGTAATTGTATTTTTTCATTTGCTATACAGCCAGATAATACTACAAAGCGCTAACCTGAAACACCCAGTCGTTCATAAAAGTTGAAGGCAGTATAGTACTATAGTAATAGAGCAAGTGCAGAATCACTGAACCTGAATCGATAGTTTTAAAGCATTTAGCGCGAAGCCCTTGAAAGTGCGGGTCCCATAGCTACTACTTATGTAGTTACTTTTGCTACTTGGATAATCCGGCACTTGGGCGACTCCACCTGCAGTTGCAGGGCTGCGCCTCTACCCTATACGCACGCGGGTGGCGTCGATCCCGCTCGGTTGCTCTTGACGCCGCGATGCCGACGAAGATGCCGCTGACGACGGCGATGTTGGTGGCGGCGATGTTGGTGGCGGCTCCTGCTGCTATTGCCGCCTCGGGGTCTCTGGACGTCGAGGGAGAGCTGCCACTCAGCGCCCAGGCCAGCGAGGGAGACCTGCAGCTGTCGTGGGGCTTTGACGCCGACCGCATCGTCATGGAGGTCCGGGTTCGCACCCTCGGCTGGGTGGCCGTGGGCTTCAGCCCCACGGGGAGCATGGCGGGCTCGGACGTGGCGCTGGGATGGGTGGACGGCACGGGGGCTGCCCACTTCATGGTGAGGGCACTTGGTAGACAGCTGTTCAACGGCCATATCAGTTCAACGCCCGCGGGCTTTCGCGACCTATATCGCCCCTAGCAAAGGTTTACTTGCGAATTGGCTGTGTCGGGTGGTGGCGGGTTTAGCGACACACATTGACATTTACGTGATCTGACTCGTCTGCCAGAGGAGGCCTGCACTGCAGTTGATGTGTTTAAGCTCTGCCCCTACCGAGTAAACTGATATTTGTGTTAAATAAATACAAATTTAAGATTTTGATTCTGAAGTGTCTCCTTCCGCCTCCTCCTTCTGACCCCCCCTCCACCTCTCCCTGTGTGACAGGACGGCCACGTGATTGACCGCGAGGTGCTGCGCGATGGAAGCCAGGACTACTCGGCCGTGTGGCTCCGGGAGAACGGCACGCACACACACATGCGGCTGCAGCGGCCCCTCAGGACGTGCGACTCGCACGACATGGAGCTCAACGTGAGCGACTCGCCCCGTTCATTCGCTCGTTCGTCGCTTATTCCTTTACCCATTTGTTCATTCGTGAGTCCACACGTTCGCGCCAGAATGTGCTCTTTCATTCGTCTGCTCGTTATTTCAGGCTGCGCGTTCATTTGTTCCTGCGTTCACGCGTGTCATTCACTCGTTCACCCGTTAATTCACGCATTCACTCATTCATTCATTTAATGCGGTCACTTATTCATTCGTTGACTGTCACACCCCCCGGACAGGAGGACACGATCCGCGTGGTCTGGGCCTACGGAGCGAAGGACCCGGCGAGCGAGGCCGACATTCCGTACCACGGCCCGACCACTCGGGGCTCCATGAGCGTCCAGCTGCTGGGGCACGGACCGCCGTCCGAGCAGCCGCTCCCCTCCAACCACGCCCACTTCGACGTCAATTACGACAAGGTGACCTCCGCTAGCCGGCCCCGGGGGGCGATGCGAACGGAGCAAGGGCCCGGGCGGCGGTGGCTGAAGCCGCACGTGGCCGCTGGCAATGCAGCACTGCGGAGACAGCGAGGGTTGGTCGGATCGTGCAGAGGTCGAGTGAGGTGCCATACCCTGTTCTTGAGAAGTCGGTACAGCGCAAAATGCGGACTCCACCTTGTTATGTCTGCATGGGATAGAGCGTTTCCCCCTCGCGTCGCGTGGGTTTTCTCCAGGTGCTCCGGTTTCCTCCCACATGTATACCGCTCGTTAAGTGGCCGATAACGCCTTAATATTTCGAGGACCGCGGAGCTTGGGCAATTATTGACGCCGGGTAACCGCGTGGCTGCTGCCTTCCCGCTCGTCTGTGGTTCCTCTTCGCGCCTCCGAGTCGTTCTTTCTCTACTGCGAGGGCGAGCGAGCGAACGCTGTCAGAAGTTGAACTTGTTATTAGACGAAAATATTAGCGCCCCAACTAAGTCATGGGGGCCGGCATTATGAAAGAACTGCAGCCCACCCGGGGCACTGCCTGCTTTACGTGGCGAAGAAGCATGGCAGCCCTGTGGGCCTGAATTTCAGGGCGGCACATTTGACTGTTTTAGTAAAAGACTGGCGGAACGTGTGGGGTCGAGGATGGGAGTCTAGAAACACTGACCCCTACGGTGACCTTTACGTACGGCCAGAGAGCAACCGCGCCTCCATTTCAAGAGAGGACGGCGGTTAAGCGAGCACCGTCACGCTGCGTTGGACCGTGTCGGGCCGCCTGTGGAGATTCCAGCACGCGGCGGTCACTTGGCTTCAAAGTACAAAAGCTCCACCGCCTCGCGTAACTCTGCCCCTGACCGACCCCCTCATTTTGTGTGCGACGATTAATCCCCAGTTCGAGATCCCAGCGCAGTCGACCTTTTACCAGTGTGAGATCTTCCCGGTGCCGAAACTCGACCGCAAGCATCACCTGATCAAGGTGAGACGCGGGGCCACGCGGGGCTTGTCATGCGCACGGGCGCGGCGGCAGACACGGCCGCACCGGTGCGGTCCAATAGGTGTCACCTGCCCGGGGTGTGTGCGTGTGTGACCCTGGGCAGGTGCGGAATATCGGTGTCTCTGCGTTCGGTCGGCAGGAATTGATTTGAACCGAGATCTGGCACCGGTATTGTTCAAAAAAAACCGCACCGGCTTGAGTCCTCGTGCTCACTCGGAGACACGTCCGGGTTCAGTCTACAGCGGAGAAGGTGGCAACCCAAAGGCACCTCCAAACACGCAACGTGTACTCAAGGGGGAGCGGCGACGCAGTGGTTAGCGCACAGCACTGTGAGCTCAGCGACTGAGGTTTGATTTTGATTCCCATTCATGGCTAACATCAGTGACAAATAGCTGAAATGGTCGTGGGCCTCTCCTAGGTAGACACAGCCTTAAATGAGTACTCAGGTGCGGTGTGTAAACATCACCACTGGGGAGACAAAGGCGGTCGGACGTGGTGCTAGCCACACCACCCCCTCGTGCGCCGTGGTGGCAAGATGTTAACTACCTCGCCCGGTATACAGGAGTTTGTGGGTTCAATCCCAACCCTGACGCCTGTATATTTGGAGTTTGCATGTTCTCCCTGTGGGCACGTTTATTTTTCTCAGGATCATCCGGTTTTTCCCTCCACATTTTGAAACGTGCGTTTAGCGTATTTGGCTGCTGTAAATCTCCACGTGATAAGCCACTTCGTTGGAATATCATTTGTCATCGCCAGGACGCTTCTGAAAAAGAGCTGTTGTATCGCTCAGCGGGTCCTACCTGGTAACATAAAAGTCGTTTTAGTAGGCAAGGCAGCACTTCACATATCTGTCAACCCCTTACCAGTACCTCCCTTATTACAAACAAATTCAGACCTTATTGGTCACCCCGTGCCCTTATAAATGTCAACGTTCATCCTACAAAGTCCTATTACAAGGAAGAAACACAAAGTGACGAAACATTTTTTTTTGCCCGTATTGAAACGACTGTGCGCCTTGTGGACGTGAAAACTCAATTTCCCTGTACAAGAATACGGGGTAAACCGTACGGGTTGACAGCTGTGAGCTCACCGCGTGTGGCTGCTGCCTCGCCCGCTCGCCCCTGGTTCCTCCTCGCGTCTCGTGCATCGCCCTTCGCCCTCTGCGAGAGCGAGGAACGAACGCCGTAGCGGTGGCGGCAGCGCGTGACAATTTCAATTAATTGTAAATCTTCAAAGTACCCCGGAAAGCGAGAAAAAGGGTAAAACCCCATTCTTATTTTTCATCATTTTGAATACTGGCAAAAAAAGGTATCCCATAGATATAACTGCTCGCCCCGAGCTATACGTGTCTCTGATACTTGCATTGTCTTGGTGCTGTTCGCCTTTTAGCGTTCTCTGGTCTGACACTTGTACAGAGACAAGGCCATGAAGAAGGCAGGCTCTGGTGTAGGCCAATCTCGTTTCAAAGGCAATGCCATCTATTATCAGAGCATGTTTGTTGGCATGTTTTGCCACATGTACGTGTTTGGTTACTGCAGCCTTGATGCCTTGCAAAAAGGCATCAATTTGGTGTTTGAACATCTTAACACAGCTCCTGTTTCATTGCCAGAAAAGGGTTTAAACCCCACTTCTTATTCTTTCACCGAGACGGCTCTGCTCGTCGGGGTGTGTGTGTGTGGGCGATCTTCGGTCCGTGTCTCCGTGCCAGGTGGTGCCGCGGCTGCAGGCCAACAACGAGGCCTTTGTGCACCACATCCTGCTGTACACGTGTTCGGCGAGCGTGAACGCGTCCCACGTTGGAGCCAGCCACGAGTGCAACCACCCCAACATGCCCGACTCCTTCACCCACTGCTTCGGCGGCATCATGGCCGGCTGGGCCGTGGGCGGCGGCGTGAGTGGGCCTTCGATTGCTCAGCTCATGCATGATATTTTCTCCTTTTTTATCGATCGCGGTAACAAAAAACTTATAATTGGTGGGCGGAGGTAAAGGTGGGCGCCCTGCTAGTGCTGGCCCCACGCAACTGCTGGCGGAAGAACCTCTGCCAGAGGGAGCGCTGCAGAAGCGCCACTGAAGTAGTAACCGCGGAAGTTGCCGTCAGCCGGTAACTTGTGTGCATGCACGTATGTACTTTGAACTTATTTCGCGCCGTACGTAGCCAACCAACTACCCATTGCTTTGGGCGAATGCCTCCCCCGCCGTATCCTATCCATTATTTTCCCGAATTGCTCCTGTCCAGCGGTTGGCCTCCACTCTGTGATGTCATCTCACCGCCGTCTCTTCCGCCCTCCTCTTGCCTTCTCTCTGCCTCCACTCCGCAGTTAAGTTTGCCCTTTTTCTCTCGGAGTAAACCTTCGCTTCTCCGGCAGATGGGAAACGACCCATCGAGATGATACGAGCGATGATTGTATTCGCAAACGGATGAGGTAGGTCAAGGTCATCATCATCACGATCCATGGGCGGTGTCCACTGCACATTTCCTCATATGTTTCCACTTTCATCTCTGTCTTGTGCCAGTATGGCTCGAGTCGTCATCAAGCCATTCTCCCCGTTAGGTCTTTCTCCATTTCCGGTTCTTTCCTTTTTTCCGAACAGCACGCTTTTGATTTTCTTGTTGTTGTTGTCCATCATATGGAATGTGTCCGAATAGTGTCAGTTTCCGTCTCAGGTAAAGGCACAACCATAAAATTGCTTGCTCAAAGCCACCGCTGACAGTAGAGGGCCTTTGCTTCGAAGGGAGAGCTCTAGAGAGCCGTTGCGCAGGGATTTTTGGCCTGAGTGGTTTCGCACGGGGTGACCTCAATCAAAATTTTTTGGCCCGAGTTGTTTCGCACGGGGTGACCTCAATCAAAATTTTTGGCCTGAGTGGTTTCGCACGGGGTGACCTCAATCAACATTTGCGAGTGTGCTCAGCGTCGCGCCGTCACGCGTGTTCCTGTGCAGACGTTCGACTACCCCCCTGAGGCGGGCTTCTCCCTGGGCGCGCAAGGGGACCCCCAGTTCGTGATGCTGGAGACCCACTACGACAACCCAGCCCAGCTAGCAGGTGAGGGGGGCCGAGGGTTAGCGCCAGAAAGGTGAGGGGGGGGCTCCCTGTATGCGAGGAATTAAAATGGAACTGGTAGCGGGGGGCCCATGTTAGCAACTGATCAAACAGCGGAGCTTTTAAACTATTACTAAACAATGTTTACCAGGTAAGGCCCACTGAGCTGTGTAGAAGACTTACAGATTTCCCAGAACACCAGACACCAGTTACGTCGACAAGAGGACTGCTCCTGGGCAGAAACCAGGACGGTGTGGCAACCATGGCCCATATCTAACCCATCCCCCCGGCGCTGCACCTGCGTCCCGTGCGCATCAAACAAAACCAGGCGTGGCGGACAGCTCGGGCCTGCGCTTCTACATCACGCCCGAGCTGCGTGCGTACGACTCGGGGATGCTGGAGGTGGGAGTCAACCCGCAACCCACCCACTTCATCCCCCCCATGACGCCCTCCTTCATGAGCTACGCCGTCTGCCCCACGCTGGGCTTCTCCACTCTGGGTCCGCACGGCGACGCGCTCCGCGGCTCCCTGCCTCGCCCGGCGGGAGTCGAGCCGGGCAGATCGGTGAGCAGCCCCGGCAGGGCCCTGGTTAGGGGCGGGCACGCCATGGTCAGTCAACTAGGGATGAACACCTCTCCACGTCGTCACACTGATCACGCAAACTCCGCCCATCCTCGCAGCGGCGGCTTTTGAGTGGCCATCGAACAAAGACGGCCAGCACATAGCACGCTTTCAGGTGCGCTTCTGCGGCCATCTGGAACACTCTTCCTTCCGATATTAGGAAGCCACTGGAGCTATGCACATTTGAATCTAGATTGAAAACTAATTTATTTATAACGGCTTTTTGTGTTGAGTTTGTTGTCCTTCCCCCCGGTTGGCTCGAAGTTCAACAAACATACCATCTCACACGATGTAACAATCCAACCAGCATCTGTATGCATAACGGGGTTTGCTGGCGCAGCGGTTAGCCCACTGTGCTGTGAAACCCGTTGACCTGAGTTTGATTCCTGACGACAGCAGCGAACACCAGTGCCATGTGTATACATGAGCACCGGGGAGACAAAAGTGGCTGGGCATGGTGCTGGCCACTCCACTTGCTTCAGCAGCCTATAAAAGCTATGAGGGTGGTCTTTGTGTGCTTGTGTATGTATGCCTAAATCTGTTTTTACTTTACCAGGTAAGGCCCCACTGAGCTTTGTAGCTTTTTTTTTCAGAAGCGACCTGGCCACAAGTGATAGCCCAACCAATTGGCTTATCACGTGGACATTTAGAACAGCCAAATACTCTAAATGCATGTTTCTAAACGTGGAGGGAAAAACCGGAGAAAAATCCTCACGACCATCGGGAGAGAGACATGCAAACTCTAAATGTACAGGTGTCAGGGTCGGGATCGAACCCACGACCTCCTGCATACCGGGTGAGGGAGTTAACATCTCGCCACCGCGGCACCCTCCGTATTCATGTCTATTTATGGTCATGAGCGTGTCTCTCTGTGTCCATGCGGCCACACGCAGGCTCGGCAGAGCGGAGAGATCCAGGTCTTTGCCACGATCTTGCACGCACACCTGCTGGGAGCGGCGATGCAGGTGCGGCACTTCAGGTGAGTGGGCCTCACGCGTCCCGAACACGCAGCTGCGCGTGAGTGACGAAGTCATAATCGCCACGAGCCAGCCGTCTAGAATTGTGGAGTATTTCACGACAGTGAGTGGCCTGCAGCATGGTGGTTGATCGTGTTCGGATGACACAAAACAGCCAATCTGGTAGACCGATTCATCAACATGGGTGGAGGAGGCAAGACATTGAGTTGGTGGGAACAGTAGCCATGGTTGGTAGAAGCGTTAGACGAGTGACCTCGGATGTCTTATCTCTGCGTGTGTGCAGTAATAATCACAATGAATGGCATTATTTTATCCTGGATAGCCTCAAGACTCAAGATTTCAGGCGGGTTGCTGCCACCCCAACCACAGGCCTGGTAAAAAAGGGAGATCCGCTAACGCCACGCGGTGAATCCGTCGGTTCGCTTCCTTCGCAGGCAAGGCAAGCAGATCGGCCACCTCGGCAGGGACATGGGGTACGACTTCAACTACCAAGAGGCCCGCTATCTGAAGGAGCTCACCGCCGTCCTGCCCGTGAGTGCGATACCACGCAACGGTGGCCTTGGGGTGGGCGAACGGGTCGCGTTCGCTGCCCACGCGATCGAACCCCTCCCCCCCGTTGTAGAGAGTCACCAAGTTGAACGCTTTACCACTGGAAAGCACGAACGTGGAGGTTCGCGGCCGACCGACCGATTCAACGCGGAAAGGAATTTCATCCGTCCGCAGTAGCAGACGTAGGCGGCCCAATCGGCGACATCGAACAACATCGGAGCTGCGTTAGTGCTGCCCCCTCGCGGGATGGGGGGCAGCACTTTGCCGCCGCTTCTCATTGGGTTCCGAATTGTTCGTCGCATTTAATTGGTGGTCCATCGCTCCGTGCTTGTAGTGCAGGGCTATCGCGGAGGTCTTGTTTCACAGACAGTTGTAGTCTTGCCTGCCAGTAGAGAGCAATATTTGCTACTTATTTTTGTTTAGTTTAACCGGTTTGTAGTGCCACCGTGACGAGATGTTAACTACCTCGCCTGGTATACAAGAGATCGTGAGTTCGATCCCGAACCTGACGCCTGTATATTTGGAGTTTGCATATCTCTCTCCCCAATGTCACGTGGGTTTTTCTCTGGGTACTCTAGTTCCCCCCCCCCTCGCCCACACATTTAGAGACATGCGTTTTAGAGTATGTGCCAGCTGTACATTTCCACGAGATAAGCCACTTCGTTGGGTTCTCATTTGTGGCCAGGTCGCTTCTGAAAAAGAGTTACGGAGCTCAGTGGGGCCTTACCTAGTTAATTAAAGAATAGTAATTTACTCTGAATTTTTCAAAATTAGAAAATTTGGGAGACATGGCTGCCTACTCTTTTTAATATATAAAGTTACGGGTTCTTTAACGGTCGCATGTGAAGCAGATGGCAAGTATCTCTTTTTTCTACTTAATACATCCTCTCTAGAGCTTGCCCGAGTGGAAGACCCTTCCGCCAGCGGTGGCGTGAGCTAAGAATTTCGGGGCTGCACCTTTACCCACAGCCGCAGAATTAACCAGGGTGACCCACCGGGCTCAAACTGTGAAGCCTTCTGTACGACGAATGGAAGACGTGTGACCTCTTGGCCATGTCATTGTGAGTGCTTGATGATGCATGTGTTGTGCGTGTGTGTGTTGTGCGCGTGTTGCGCGTGTGTTGTGCGATGCGTCTGTGTTGTGAATGTTGGACATCTTTCGCACCATACGTAGCTAACTGTGCTAATCGGAGGTGCGTGTGTGGTGTGCGTGTGTCAATTGGCAGGGTGATGAACTTATAACGGAGTGCACCTACAGAAGCACAAGCCGCTCACACACCACCACGGTGCGTGCTCTCACCACCACCACCACCACGGTCTCCTCTCTGACCACAAGTCTCACCAACAGCAACAACGTCAGGACTAAGAGTAGTATTAACAAATAATACAGCATTTAGTCCATGTCACTGCTGGATAAATGCCTCTGCACGTCAATATTTTATTTTATTTTATCAATTTATTATTTTATTCTCATTCTACGTGACTTTACCGAAAGAACCAAAGAAGATTAATCATTGCAGTCACGAAAGCTTTAAATCGAAATTCATACTTCACCAGTGCTGGTCAGTGCGGGTTGCTGAAGGCGGGCAGCAAAAAGTAAGCGGGCGCTTAGGAGTACATCACAACGACATGATGATGACGACGGGGGTGACCTTAATTTCCCACTGCCTTCCACCACTGCAGTGATGTCCACAATACGGGTGCCCGTGTACGTACGTACGTATGTTTGAGCTTCTTTCGCACAGTACGTAGCCAACCGTGCTAAGCGGCGTGGTTGGCACGCTCAAGGGGGGTGCATAGCTTGAGCAGGGCAGGTTTACGATGGGCTGTGGAAGCCACGTTGGACGACACGCGAGACGAGTCCGGGTGGAATAAGGGTTTTTGGAGGCGAGAGTGCCCTCTGTGTTCCGGCAACTGGATCCTGACCATGTGGACGTTGCTGGCATTTTGAGAACAGGTTGTTGCTCGTCTTTGGGCACTGCGGTGGCTATGAGATGTTAACTACCTCGCCTGGTATACAGGAGGTCGTGGGTACGATCCCGACCCTGAATTTCCATGTCTCCATGGTCGTGTGGATTTATCTCCGGGTCCTCCGGCTTTTCCCTCCACATTTAGAATCAACTTGCGTTTAGAGCCATGTAGCTCAGTGGGCCTTACCTGGTAAACATTTAATAGTTAAGTTTGGGTGTCTGAGACGGATGCAAGGAATTCAGTGGCAGGACGGGGGTTTGCAGTGCGGGAGTCCAGAAGAGAAATGCAGCAGGTGAGCGGCGTGGACGTGACGAGGCAAGAACGGTCGGCACCGGGTGGGGCGTTGCGCTGGCGACGAACGAGGTTGCCGATTGCCGAGACAAGACGCCGGAGTGGCCTCCACGCGTCCGGTAGCTCATTGGCAAAGACCAAAGAGGAGTCGGCGGGAGACTGTCGGGGCCGGTGTCTTGGAGGCCGTGTGTGGTTGAGGCGTCACTCACCACCGGTGTTCGCTGCTGCGGTCAGGAATCAAAACTGGGGTCAGCACAGGGGTTCACAGCACAAGTTAAGCTAACCGCTAGCGCCAACACTCCCCCGTAATGCGTACAGACCGGGTATAGGGTGGATTGTTACATTGTAGGAGATGGTACATGTGGGGTGTACGTTGAACTTATTCCGCACGGTCGTAGTGTAGCCAAACGCGCTAATCGGAGGTGCCGGGGGAAGGACAACAAAGGGGTGGAAAGCGTCGTGGCATCGACAGATTTGGCGACGACGTCTCCCTCTGCGATCGTCTCGGCCCCCTCTCTCTCTCCCTCTCGCGTTGCCTCCTTCCCACAGGGTGGCCTCTCCACGCAGGACGAGATGTGCATCGCCTTCCTCTACTACTACCCACGGGTGAACGTCTCCCGGTGCCTCAGCCTCTACGACATGGCCGCCGTGGCCCCCTCGCTGGGATTCACCGTGACCCCGTGAGACGCCCGTCCTGTCCACCGCCACCACCACCACCACCACACAACGCCCCTCTCCGACGCACACCGCCGGTCGGAGAGATATCGCGTGAATGATCGACTCGAGCTGGGACGGCGTTTCCGCTGGCTACGTTCGCCTCTTGGGGCGCAATTTGTCCCACGACGGTGACAGCTCGGTTGGATTGTCTCTGTCGGATTGGTGGAGGGTTCTCGTTTAGTATTGTTCGTTTTTTTAATTATTGCGACTCATCGCGAGCCCAGCACACAGCACCGGTCGCGGTAACAAAGGAGGGAGAAGAGAAAGACCGCGAGGAAAGACGACGCGAGATCGACGCCCCAGGGGCTTCACGAGGGGGTGGGTGGGGGAACATTCGGGCCTCACCGCCCCACCCGAGTAGGAGTCGCGACGCGAGGACGTGAACGCTTCATATGGGGAGGGGAGATAACAGAATGGGGTACAGAGAGGCAGGGACATGGGGTGGAGGGTTATAGTTGAACAGTGGCATCACTCTCCTCGCACGACGATCTAACCCAAAATAAACTATCTTGGAATCAACTGACGATTTCAACAAAAAAAATCTAAAATGGATGCTGCCATTGGGGGGTCGACGGCGAGCCGACCGGACTCACGATCCAGAGGCCGCCGGTTCCATCGTCCGTGAGCGCGGCAATTGAATCAACGGGGGGGTGAAAGTTTCTCAAACTCGCAGCGTGAACGGGGCTCGCCAGCCGACGCTTGTCTCCGCTAGTCCCACCTCTCTCGACACGACGTCTGACCGAGTGTGGTGGACCCGCGAGCAGGCATCCTGCGTGAGGGGCCTCTCTCCGTAACGCCCTCTGGCAGGAGGCCGTTCTCGTCAGCAGTGGTGTGAGCAGGAAAATGCGGGGCATGGCACCTTTTTTTACCTTTTAGCCGTACAAATAATAATTATCAATTCGCTGCTTTTTTGGCGTTGGCACTGTTTCTCGGGGTGGCAAAGGCTACTGCCTGTTTCACATCCAAGTGGAGTCTGCCCATAGGAGGTGGCCAATGTCGCTCTGCGGTTCTCGCCAATTAACTAATTTGCGGGTTAATATTTCGGGAGATTAGGAGCATGACGCTGACGCACGTGGCCTGCTTGTTTTTTGAAGAACATCATAGAATCTTTTAACATCAAACTATGAAGCAGACGGAATGTGGTAGTAGTAGTCGTAGTTTTAACGCTTTTAATACAGCCACCACGATATTGACCAGGGTGGCTGTTGGATCCGAACCTCTTCAGCAAAGTGGGAAAGATGCAGCCGCTCGCGCCTGGTGTGACCACCCCTTCACGTGTGGTTGATTACTGAGGGGCGCCACGGTGGCTAGGAGATGTTAACTCCCTCGCCTGGTATACAGGAGGTCGTGGGCTCGATGCCATCCCTGACGCCTGTATGGTTGGAGTTTGCATGTTCTCTCTCTTTGTTGGTCGCGTGATTTTTTCTCTGGGTCCTCGGGTTTTCCCTTCCACATTTAGAAGCAACAACACGCGTTTGGAGTATCTGTGGCTGCTGTAAATGTCCGCGTGATAAGCGACTTCGTTGAGCTATCATTTGTGATAGCCAGGTCGCTTCTGAAAAAGAGCTATACAGCTCAGTGGGCCTTTTCGTGGTAAAATAAAAAATAGTTTATCGTTTTGAACTACCTCGCCTGGTACACAAGAGTTAGTGGGTTCGATCCCAACCCTCACACCTGTATATTTGAAGTTTGCATGTCCCTCTCCGTGGTCGTGGGGATTTTTCTCCGGGTCCTCCGTTTTTCAATGTGCGTTTAGAGTATTTGGCTGCTGCTATAAATCCCCACACGATGACGAGCCACTTCGTTGGGCTATCATTTGTGGTAGCCAGTTCGCTTCTGAAAAAGGGCTACATAAGTAGCTCAGTGGGCCTTGCCTGGTAAAAAAATAAAGAAATAGTTTTATAGTTTCGATGAGGAGTCACGCCAGCTCTGGTTCACACTGCGTCATCCGTACCCCCCCGCCCCTCCGCCATGGTGCAGCGAGTTCCCTTACACGGTGCTCAGCCCCCCCGAGGCGCAGGGCGTCCCCGTCTTCCTGCTCTACGACCGAGTCAACTGGACCGAATCCACGGTGCGCGGCGCGGAGGCGGCCGCCCGAGACATGGAGCATCTCGCGATCCACGTGGGAGAGGTGAGGCAAGGGAGGTGGAGGGGGGAAAGAAAGAGGAGAAAGGTGATGGAGGGAGCAGCAGCAGCAGCAGGGAGGGACGAAGGAGGTGTCTATCTCGTTCGTGTGAGAGCTGTTGAAGCTGCTCACATGCAGGCCATGGGCAGGGGAAAGGCACGTGATAAGAGTATTGTGGTGTTTGGTAAAACCTGTAACAATTACGCTCTGTAAATGGGCTGTAAATTGAAACAACATAAATTCATGGCAAGACAATTCCATGTACAGCCAGGGTACCCTGCCCCCGAATTAGCACCGCTATTTCGAGCACACGCCGTGAATTTGGCAAAACGAATGAGTGACTGACCGAACAGCCACCGTGACTCGGCTCGCTCGTACGTCCTCATCAAAACACACGCACCGCCCCCCCCACCCACCCCCTCTCTCGCTCTCTCTCAACCCTCTCCCACAAACCCTACAGCACAGCTCCAGTGCCTTTCTGGCACAGCACGTTCCCAAGATCCCCAAGGATCCCGAAGCACCGCCCTGCGTCCCGAGGGAGCCGCCACCAAACGCAGGGGCCCGGCCGTCACGTGTGCCGGCTCTTCTGGCTGTGCCACTCGCCCTCGTGGCGTTCACGTGAGCGCCGCCAACCAGTTCGGACGTCACTCATGCTCGCAATTTGCCGGGAATCGAACCCAGGCTTCTGAGTTTTGCAGAGCAGCATGCGGACCGTTACACCGACACTCCACCCACGCACACACACACACACGTGCGATGACAAAGAAGCCCCGTGCGGCCCATGCTGACGCGTGGGGCAGTAAGTGCTATATCATGGGACCTTTTTGGCAATTGAGTTTTTCAGCAAAACCATGAGAATTGTTGAAAAGCGAGTGAAATATCTACGGGACTTTTGTTGCCAGTATGAAAGTATGAAAAACAGGAATAGGTTTTACGCTTTTCTGGCAATAAAAAGCAGTTGTGTTAAGATGTTCAAACACCAAATATATACCTTTTGCCAGGAATCCAGTTTGCATTAACCACAGGTACTTGTGACAAACATGCAAACAAACATGCTCTGATAATATGATCCTCATGGCGGTTACCCCGGGGTAACAAATAATACAAAATGGCCGAGGCAATTAAATATTTTCTTTCTAGGACACTATTTTTTTTCAAGGGGTGTACTTTAACTCCGCGACTGGCATACCAATCAATCCGAAAATCAGTGCTACTCCGCGATGTCGAAACGCCAAACCATAGCATAAAAAATCCGTTATCGCATCACGGATATTACGTGAGAGCCGGGGTACTATGGTAACCCGGGTTACCGCCATAAGGTTCATAGATGGCATTGTCTTTGAAACTGATTGGCCTACACCAGAGACAGGCTTCTTTATGGCCTAGTACCATCAGTGTCAGATCAGAGAACGCCAAAAGGCGAACAGCACAAATGCAATGCAAGTATCAGACCAATTATAGCTCAGGTTGAGCAGCTGTACGATGGGATACCTTTATTTGCCAGGTATTTATTTGGTGTTTGAACGTCTTAATGCCTGTTTTATTGCAAGAAAGGGTTAATCCTATTCTTATTTTTCATACTGTAGCAAGTGCTGTTAGTGAGCCCCTATTAAGACCCGAACGGCAGAACGAGGGCTGTCGTCATCCTCCCATTGTTGATGCTTTACACACCGCACCTGGTACTCAATCAAGGAAAGCCACAGTGCTGGTTCAGCTCTTCAGCACTGACGTTGGCCAAGGGTGGGAACCAAATTCAAGTCACTCGGTCCATAGTGTCGTGTGTGAAATACCACGTCACCAATACCAATACCCGCCATTCGCCACTAAGTGATGACGACGTCACCACGGCGTCTGTGCCGGGCCAGGTGCACTTTGAGGCCATGTCAAGTGTCGAAGGCTCGCTGACAGGAGGTCAGAGACAGACCCCAGGTGCCATGGGTTGACTGACTGAGATGACTGGCAGATGCGCCACCAGCTTGTACCCCTTACTGTGCGAACTTGCTGTATTTTAGCCACCTGGTGCTTCGCTTGTTGCGAGCGGCTCTACTGCACTCTGTTGTTGCTGGAGGGCGACTCTCTCCAATTGACCAGTAGCGTCCTTCACGAGCCTTCTCCATAGAGGCCGATCTTGAGACCGCTGGCGCTTTGCCTCCACCCTCCCACATACACACTTGTGGATAGAGAGGTCCGGTGAGGCAAATATCAGAATAGTTGTTTGTGATTTCTCCTTCCACACTTTCGCTTAGCCCAGTACCAAGACTTAAAAAAATCTGTTTGACACGCGACAAAAAACCGCACTCTTCGCTGGGCACACAGACGCCGTGCCCCTCGCGTGGACAAAATATTTTACACTGAAGTGACCTCAGCCAAAGTTCCGTAGCATCTTCCGGGGCCGATTCTTCGACACAGGGTGACGCACCGCTCGCTTGCAGAGTTCCTGACTGAAAATGTTCCGTCTCGTGACATGACGATTGAAAGATAAAGGGATGATTTTAAATCGCTCTTCTTTTTACTTAATTGCACTGAAGTCTAATAATGACAATAAAAAAAACCCGTTGATTTTCATTTGACGTGCGGTGAAAATGTTTCACTGGTCGTTAAAAGCAGTGTGGCTATGGAGTTGCCATCTGTCCTGGTTTTCCCCAGATATTGTGAGATAGACTTCTTCCCAAGACCTGGTCTTCTTCACTACCTCAGAGGTGGCAACTCTCGGTGTGGCTTGGGTGTGAATAAAGCAACTGATTAAAGCGACCTTCGCATGTGTTACGTGGATGTTTTATTTGTGGCCTTTCTGCCACGGTGGGTGGTGCACTGCTCGATGTGAGAGATTAAAATAAATAAGCAGATGGGATGACACCACGCTACAGGTATAGCAAGGGGGCGCGTTGTCTCCGAAGTGATGTCATAAGAGAGTGACATTTCAGGAATTGGCCCTGTTTCTGCTGCGCTACAGAAGAGCCTATTGCCGCACGATACGTCACCCTGTCATGAATGTCTCTCTGTTACAGGGCGCTGGTTCAGGGAGGAGAGTGGTGAATTTGTTGTTGATTGAGTGGCCCGGTGGTGTTCGGCCTTGACTTTGCATGCATCCCACAATTCCATTCAACTGAACGATGGGTTGGACCTTGACTTTACATGCATGCCACAATTCCATCCAGCTGGACAAAGGGTCGGTCCTTAACTTTGCATGCATCCCACAATTCCATTCAGCTGGACAATGGGTTGGACCTTGACTTTACATGTATCCCACAATTCCGCCCAGCTGGACAATGAGTTGGTGGTGCCAGGTGCTGTGGGTATCCACCGCTGTTTTCCAGAACGGCCGGCGTAACCGTGAGCGCGCCCACAGTGAGATTGTTCAGGGTCCACGTGGATCAGAGATCGGAGTTGCTTGGGATATAGTTTTTTCTCTCGCGTAGCGCGGTGGCGTCTCTGCGGGTGGCGGGCGGGATGGCGTGGGGACAGCGCCGGGACCCTCCCGTTTGGAGTGGACTTCAGCATCCCCCGACACCACCGTCCTCACGACGGCGTTCCGCTGTGGGTCTACAATCTTTGCGTGGCGCTGCTGGGCCAGGGGGAAGAGCGACGCTCTGCAGAAGAGCGGACAAGCGCCACTTTTGGGCTGCGCGAGTGTTCGAGGCGTGCCCCCCCCTCCCCCGCACCTCCGATTAGCACGGTTCGCTATGTACGGTGCGACAAAAATTCAACGTAATGCGCAAATTCAAGTTACTCACTCTTACTCGACAGTTACTGCGCGTGTCCCTGACTGTGACGTGCGTACATCCTCGACCCGCAAGTGCACCCACGTGCTGTAGGTGTCTCTTGAACACGCAGGCTTCGCAAATGTCGTGGGTTTACTCTCCAGCACACAATCGGTGTGCTGAATGAATAACTCATTGGCACGTTTTATTTACGTGACAGACCTTACTAATTGGCTGTGTCGGGTGGTGGTGGTGGGTTTTACGACACATTTATACTTACGCGATATAACCCAAAAACACCTTTATTGTGGACATAGGTGTCTCTATACGGTACACATAGCATGCCTTCCTGCACACGTGGTAGCAGTTATCAGCATGCACGGATGCTCCTCCAGCAGAGTATGACCCCTCATCATTCTTTGCAAAGCGATTTCCTGCTGCTCCCAATGAGCAGCGATATATTGGTGTTCACCTCCCGTTTACTACGTGCCTGCAGAGTGGTGGACATTCCACATTCCCAATGCAGTGGCCCAGTCTCTCCAGAGGACACATTTAACGACGCAATTATATATTGACGCGACCTAACGCCAACAACCTGTATTATGCCCCCACAAAGGCATCCTCATTTTGATCGATCCCAGCGGGATGACGATGGGCCGCGTTAACTTCGCGGCCTTCCGATTGCTGCGAGGGGCTCGCCGGACCACTGAGCGCTCCTGGCTAACTAAAGTCACCGTCGTTGGTCAGACGTTAGGTAACGTCAAAAGGCCATGCACAGATGGATATGTGATGGAATTATGGTTTTGTTTATTCCTGTACGCAAAATAAATACGCGTAAATAGTTGCATACGTGTGACGCGTGCAGATGTATGGCGGTAGCTGGGCACGTGGCCGCGTCTGGCTACAACAAGAGCAGCGCACTGTAACAAGATCAAATTAATCCGCGACAGAATGAATGATCAATTGTGTTCATGCTTTGGGCCAATATATGGAGTAATGAGACGTGGCTTTGCCCCATATAAGCAAAACTGGAACGGGAATCAGCTGATTTTTAACGATGCCATGGCTTGATCCATGCTCGAACACAAGCTTGGATATTTTGAATGCAATTTTTTTAAATCAATAAAGTGATTCATGTCACATGATTTATGGATCTAAAGAGACGATTTGTGGATCGAAAACGACACTTATTAGGCTGCTCCTGGACGCTCATTGGCTTCCTTCGACATTAACACACGTGATCATTCATTCTGTCGCGGATTCATTTTATCCTGTTACAGCGAGCGTCTTCCAGTAGCGTGCAGGGGCAGTTCAGCAGCGGTTGACGGGGGGTGGGGGGTGTCCCTCCACTGACTTGCTGCATACAACACAAATCGTCGCCGTGAGAAAGTTCGTTTTTCGCAGTTGCGCTAATTTGCGAGCTGCGAGCCGAGCTTTTGTTTAACGGCCGACGATGCCGGATACAAATCTCGCAGCCGAAACGTCGGGCATCATTGTCAAAATGTCGCCTGCCTTTTCAATGCCCCTTTGGTTTGCTGTGAAAAATAATTCAATGGGCGTGTTTGTCCCACGTGACAACTTGATTTAACTGGCTCTGTCGGGTGGTGGAGGGATAAAGAAATAAAAATTACATTTTAACTTACACACCCTAACCCAAAAGTAATTAATTGTAAATCATAATTCCGAATGTTTTCCTTGATGGTATATGAGAAAGAAAATATGCAAATCGCGCATGTATGTTGAATTTATTTCGAACCAAAATGGGGCCTTTTTTTGCCAATATAATAGCATGAAAAAAACAACAATAGGTTTTACCCTCTCTAGCAATAAAACAGGTGTTAAGATGTTCAAACACCACATTTAAACCATTTGCAAGGAATCAAGTCTGAATTCAGCACACGTGTACTTGTGGTGACAAACATGCTCTGATAATATTTGCATTGTCTTTGAAACAATGATACAGGCAAAAAGGTCCCATTTTGTAGCTGCTCACTCGGAGCTTTCAATGCCCTGGCATTGTCTTTGTACTGCTCGTCTTTTGTCGTTCTCTGGTCTGACAATTGGTGAGACAAGGCCCTCAAGGAGGCTGTCTCTGGTGTAGGCCAATCAGTTTCAAAGACAATGCATACATTGTCACAGCATGTTTGTGTTTGCATGTTCACCACAATTACGTGCGGTTAATGTGAACTTGATTCCTTGCAAAAGGTTTATGTTTGATGTTTGAACATCTTAACACCTTGATTTAAAGCGTTCGTGACTGCAGGGATTAATATTCTTGGTTCTTTCGGTAAAGTCACGAAAGAACCAAGAATATCTTAACACCTGTTTATTGCCACAAAGGGTAATTTCGCACCATGCATAGCCAACCGTGCTCATCGGAAGTGTGTAAGCCAACCGTGATAATCATGCACACTGCACATGAAGCCAGAGGCTACCCTCTGGCTTTGTGCAAATAAAAATACAATTCTACGAATGGTTCGATCCACAATTTGGCTATCTCGGCTTTGGGCAGCTAAGGGATGTGAAAGGAACCACCTGGACACCGCAGCCTTCACTTAAGCAAAAGCAGCAGGATAACGATTGAACACCGTGAATCCCAGCACTGTCTCAGTACGTGCAAGGCTTATGCTTTCCCGGGAATTTATCGTGCTATTGTGGCAATCATCGCGTGCTGGGGAATTCTCAGAACCCGTGATGCATAGTATAGAGCTCTCTCTAGATGAAAGGCAGATTGCACAGCATCTATGTTACATTAAGGTAACAAGCACACCCTAGCACACAGATTAGTAACAACAGTACCCTGTGGGCCAAACCCAGACACATTTCAAAGGTGTGCAGTTCACTGTTACGAAGTTCAACACGATGCCACCAAATCTCGGCACAAATCAAATTCCTGCCACCGGAGCACACGGATCGATTCTGCCTCCTGCCCGGGTCGAATACGGACAGATGTCGATCCTAACCTACATGGGTATGTGTGGACCTTTCTACAGAGACTGTTTAACATGCCGCATGCACAGGAGATCTTCTCATTCATGGTTGTATGGGTGGTAGCCTCTTCGGTATATAATTTACACACAAAAAAACACCCATCAATAGCACTGCTTTGAAAGAACAAATATATTATAGGCGACGTTTCAGGCAATGGCCCTTCTTCATAGCACGTGCATTGAAAGTTGGCACAGAAAACTACATTGAGACCGCAGGATTCTCTGTTGAGAGTCTGGGGTCAATTCCGCACGGCATTTTTTCGTGAAGGAATTAAGAGCGCCCGGAGCAAAACCCACGCTTGGACTGGAGGGCACTCAACACGACACACGAGTAGCTTTGGTGCCCTACTCCTGCGCTCCCCTCTACGAGCACCACTTTGTCCGGCGGATCGATCTCACGCAGATTTGATTTTCATTTATTTGCGCCGACCACAAAACCCATCTCCAAGTCGCCGCATTTCAAGGTGTGCGCCAACCCACCCGGCGTGTTCCCTTGGCTGCACGCTGCGTCTGTATTCATCCTCGCGGCGGCGGCCGATTTTGGCTCGCCACCGAACTAAGACGGCCGCCGCATCGCGCGGCGCTTTGGGATGCGCTTCTGCGGCCGTCTGGAACGCTCTTCCTTCCCGATAATAGGAAGCCCCTGGGAGCTGTGCACTTTTAAATAATCTTGATTGAAAACTCACTTCTTTAGAACTGCTTTTTTTGTGTTTAGCTTGTCGTCCTTCCCCCGGCACCTCCGATTAGCACGATCGGCTACTGTGCGTACGGTGCGAAAGTTCAACGTACGTACGTACGTACTTGGACAAGCGTACACGGCCATGCCTACGCACGCGTGCTTGAAGCAAGAGCGGACACCTGCACGCACCACTGTGTGCGGCACCGTGTGTCTGTGTGTGAGCCACAGGCACACAGAGTGTGTCTGTGTGTGGCACCGTGTGTCTGTGTGTGAGCCACAGGCACACAGAGTGTGTCTGTGTGCGGCACCGTGTGTCTGTGTGTGAGCCACAGGCACACACAGAGTGTGTCTGTGTGCGGCACCGTGTGTCTGTGTGTGAGCCACAGGCACACAGAGTGTGTCTGTGTGCGGCAACCGTGTGTCTGTGTGTGAGCCACAGGCACACAGAGTGTGTCTGTGTGCGGCACCGTGTGTCTGTGTGTGAGCCACAGGCACACAGAGTGTGTCTGTGTGCGGCACCGTGTGTCTGTGTGTGAGCCACAGGCACACAGAGTGTGTCTGTGTGCGGCAACCGTGTGTCTGTGTGTGAGCCACAGGCACACAGAGTGTCCGGCTCAAGGAGCTGACCTGACATCTTCACGAAAGAAGAGGCGCCCGTTGTCGGCGAGGGAGACCTCAGCTCGTTTTGTACCAAAAGTGGAATTCCCCAGCAAGTGGACTGGGCACCATTTATGACTTTTCTGAGCCATTGTGTTGTTTTTGTTTGTGAATAGTGACCCCCCCCCCCCTCTCACTTGTGTTGATTTTGAGCTCTTTAAATGTGCCCCCCCTCCCTCCACCCTCCTCCACGCCGCATCCTCGACATGATGTAAATCGTGCAACGCCCCATGACGGCCTGCCGCTTCAAGCCACCAAAGAGAAAAAAAAACAATTACAATGTGCACAATATTGTAGCCAAAATGAAGTTTTATTCTTTCCACCCATCTTCATCTGGGACACCTCGGAGATCGCGGCTACTGGGAATAATCATAGATTTAATTGCCTCTCGTGGTGACATGATTCGCGAGTCAAATGCTCTTGGGCAAATGTTGATTCGACTACGGATGAGCGTGCAGTTCCCATCGCAAACTCACGCAGACTAAATGCCCATCCCTTACAGATTAGCCACGGGTTTCTGAAACTCCGGTGTTTTGGAGTTCCCGGAATGTCCAGCTTTACATGTTTACAAGTGTTATTCATTTTAATGTAAACAAGATAATACACACACACACACGGTAGATTGTCAACATGGAAAGGCTGAAGTGCCGTAGTCAGGAACGCGGAGACTGGTGTGTGAGTAACATTGACAACTCATCTGACATTTGGTGTGCGGCCTGCTGTCAGTGTAGCGGTCAGCGCTACGCTGCGCTACGAACCCCGGCGACCCGGGTTCGATTCCCGCTCACGGTCACCAACACCGGTGGCGATTCATCTGAACCTGTCGTGGGCCTCCCCTAGGTCGGCTGAGCCTCAAACGTTGTACCTGACGCGGCGTGTAAAAACATCGCCACTGGGGAGACGAAGGCGGCCGGGCGTGGTTGCTGGCCACCCACCCCCTCGTGTGCCACAGTGCCGGCCTCCACAGGTGCTGATCGCTAACAGCACTTGCTCCTACAGTCTGTGAAGGCCATAGCGGGGAGATCTTTGTATTTGTGTGTGTCACGAAGTGCTTCTAAAGAACGGTGAACATTTGTTTTCCCTACCGGACCTGTAATGTCACGGTACAAATCGCGGCACCTCATCGCTTGCATTGGAGACGTTTGCAAGTCGCGGATAAGACGGCATGCCCCGGTGGGAGGGAAACACAGACCCACAGCTGCAACGTCACTGCCCGAAGGAACTTTGTTTCAACAGCGTTACGCGAATTAAAAATCCGGGACAATTTCCAGACACTGTGCAGGAATGATCAGAAGCATATTGCAAGATTTGCGGATAAAACCCCTACATCCTAGAAGCGTGCAAGTGTACATGGGCAAAACAAATACGGTATAGGTATAGGAAATGACATATGGTAAACAAAATGGGCATTTAAATCTCGCTTTCATGGTCAATATGGAAAGAAATCAACGCGTTAAATGCCGAACGTGACGTTTGCCAAAATCTCTCCCTAAAAGAAATAGAAATACGAAATTCAATCAGTAGCTGCGCCGCGTGTAAATGATGGAGGCACGGGACTGTTTTCAGCGGTGGCCTCGTGGTGTTCTAGTTTCAGACGAAAGGACGTGCACACGGGTCCATGGAAGACGGCTTACTCCGACGCTTGGATGGCCTCACAGTGAAAACCAAACTATAAAACTCGTTATTTTATTATTTTACCAGGTAAGGCCCGCTGAGCTACACAGCTCTCTTCAGAAGCGACCTGGCTATCACAAATGACAGCTCAACGAAGTGGTGGCTGATCGTGTGGACATTTATCGTAGCCAAATACTCTCAACTCGTGTTTCTAAACGTGGAGGGAAAACCCCGAGGGCCCGGACAAAAATCCTCCTTACACCAGGCGAGGTTGTTAACATCTCCTGGCTACCGTGGCGTTAAGTGACTCCCTGCCCCAGAATCGGTGGCGTCCCAGGGAATCCGTCCTGGCTGTGCGCACCGTCAGCACCGTGCAGCAGCACACACCACTCCTCGGCATTGCAAAAAGTCCAGCGGAACATGAAACTGCAAGCCCCCCCCCCCCCCCCAGCTCTCTTACAGCTGTACAACCTAGGGCAGACGTCGTTGTCACTGTCACCACTGGGCGGAGGCGACGCGTCGATTTACACACGGATTTCCCCGCTTGAGAGCGGTGAATAGAGCAAAAGTGGTTCTTTTGGTAAAGTCACGTCGGTATAAAATAAAATGAATCACGACGTTTCGATTGCAACACAAGCAATCATCCTCAGGTGGGAAAACCACAGCAAGGCAAGGATTTGCTGAAGTGGGAGAGAGTATGGATTCCTGCAGTCACGAAAGCTTCATATCAAGATCAAAAGTGATTCCCCGCTCGAATGAGTATTCGATAGCATCGGTGGCTCATCTCCAGTTCACAGCCCTGAGCAGCCAGCGGGGTGGAAATTCCACATTCCTATGGAATAGCCGAGCCTTCCTGTATGTATCCTGGCGGGATAATCGGTTGAGTCGACCTCCAATGACGATTCGAACTCGTGACTTCCAATTCTGAGCCGCTCGCTCCGCCCCTACTCAGCCACCTGCTCTACCAGCTTCAGGGGCTATCATCCACACGACCCCGTGAGGACCTCTCCTTATATACGGTTCCCTCGTCAATGGGGGGTGGGGGAGGGGGGGTACTCAACGAGTGGAGATGAACGCTGCCTTCCCCAATCGGTTTCCTCGAGCGCAATTCACCGCAGCGCTTGGCCGTCGTTCGATCGCGCGCAACGCGGCTGCCTCCTCCTCCTCCAATGCCGTCGTGCCACAGCATGCTGGAGGACAACTTAAGGCGAGCGACGTTTCAGCGGCGTTTCAACGTCCCTTCCACCCCGTGTGCAAACAAGGAATACTCATGGCCGCAGCGGCGCACCAACAAAGGGACGGTGGCCACATTGCTCTGCTCGGTGACGCCACTTGGCACACGACCTCGCCTGGCTCGTCACGTTCTTCGTCTTTGCGGGGTGTGACACGAGACGCCGCTGCGAGATTGTAAGACGATGGCCCGGGTGGAATTGTTTTCACGGTGCAGGTTCCCACGGCCAAACATTAGGATTCGCTCGTGCGTTTATTTTGGGTTGCGTCGTTGTAGGCATCGTATCAATTTCGATTGCCATTGTTGATCGGCGCTGTCGGGCGGTGGGAGGGTTTCGTTGAAAATTGGCACCCTACCTACACGATCTCACCCAAAATGAATTAATTATGAATCATAATCTTGGTAATCCTGCTCAACCATCTATTTTCCCACTCGATTCTCCTTCCTCTTAGCGTAACGCTACTTACTCCACTGTCGTGATGCCTAAAGCTCAAACTGATCACCTTCTGTGCACGAGCCGAGAGGCTGGCAGCCCGCGTTCAAGTCATCGGTTTTATCGCGTGCAGAATACACTACGGCTTGACAGTCTTAGCCCAGTTGCGGATGACAAATGCATTGCAAAATTGCATTCGATTTTCTCGCACCCATTGGATGGCATCAATAGTCATGTTAGAGGCGTTAAATCACCGACTTGCTTACATAGCTAGAGAGCACAACTAGAGACGGCTGGAGGAAGCTCACTGCTCTATTCTTGTGCATGATGGAAAATATGTTCAGGAGCTAAGTGCTAATGCCGAGCTCTGCTGGCCACTAGAGGGCTTCGGGAGAGAGAGTGAATGATTTGGCTGTTCCTCCTCCTCCGTTGAAGGAGCGCAAACTCCAGTGGGTTTACTATGCTGCCCATAGTTTTGTGTTCGCATGGCCACACTCGCACCGCTACTGTGGATTGTCTTTTTAAAAAAAAATCCCATTCAAGGACGCAATGTGTGCATCGGCCTGTTTATAGGGAGCTCACCGAGTCCCACGGCCAGAGGAGCCCTGCTCAGCGCTCCCACTGCTCGTGGGTGGTTTCAAAGGATGCAAACGAGTGGTATTGCCTTGCTGTGCACCTTACCAGTAACAACATAAACAAAATAGAAGCGAAACGTCAACTGTCTAATTTCAGTTTTTAAATGCGAGTATTCATGAACGTTAAATCGACAATATCTGATCAATCGTACGTAAAATATTAGTTTTTTGGGTTTAACCGAAATGCCTGTATTTCACTAAACGTATCAACACGTCAATACGTTGTATTTCTTTCCATATGGCGAAATTATCGGCCGGTCATTTCACTTTCGGGCTGTTCACATCAACGGCCGCCGTTAAATATCGGCTGCTGTCGCGAGCGGGGGCCGCGCGCCGCTGGGCTAGAAGCACTTGCGGTGGACGATGGAGGGCCCAGCTTCATCGTACTCGGGTTTGCTGATCCACATCTGCTGGAAGGTGGAGAGCGACGCCAGGATTGAACCGCCGATCCACACCGAGTACTTTCTCTCCGGCGGGGCGATGATCTGCGAACAGTCGTCAGCAATCATCATGACAATCATCATTACAATAATAATCATAACAATCATCATCACGATCACCAGCAACAATCGTCATCACAATCATCATCACAATTATAATCATCATCACAATCACCAACAACAATCATCATCATCATCAACAATCGTCACCATCACAATCATAATCCTCACAATCATCAACAAAAACCATCATCACAATCATCATCACAATCATAATCATCATCATCAAAACAATCATAAACCTCACAATTGTCGTCATCAACAGCCATCATTACCATTATCAACATCCATCATCACAATCATCATCATAATCGCGACACTCATGTGCCACCATCATTGATTTTGGGGGTGGGGTTCTTGTTACTTTTACCAAAGAATGCCTCAATGGGCCTTAAAGTAGTGCAATTGTAGGAAGATCTTGCAACTGTGTTTACATTCGAAGGTTAATTGAATAATGTTGAAACTCAAATTTGTCTTCAACCCATGATATATGCAACCCAAATAATGCACTGTTCTGCATTAGAAATTCATCCCAAGGCTGCCTGGGAGGGATTGGTGGATGCAGAGCGAGTTGACGCAGAAACCGTGTCACGCAAGAGGGTTTGTGATTTAGAGACAGCTCGTGGACAAAGGGGTTGTTTTATGTCGGTGACTGCTTAGAATGGGATCATTCTGAGCATTTTGTGATAAAGGCATCTAATAGACTCTTACCCATTTTATAAATAAAGGCTTTTTATATATATGTATGTCTTGGTATAAACAAAAACTTTATATTTTTAAACTAAAATATTGTTTGTACTAAGTAAGGCCCACTGAGTTATATAGCTCTCAGCAGCGATCCGGCCACAAATGATAGTTCAACGGAGTGCCTTACCTTGTGGAAATGTATAGCAGTAAATTGAACCTTCTGGTGGAACCCGGGGTCCCGAATAAACGGAAGTCAAAATCGCAATTAGTTAATTTATTTTTGGCGACTCGGTCCCACCGTGCACATCAACGCCGCGACCCAGCAGAAATCAATTCTCTCGTTCTTCACCAAGTACCCGTCGTTGCCAAAGTTGCCGTAGTCATGAACAAAATTTTTAAAGTTTGATTAGCGCATCGCGTAGAGCTCGTCGGGAGGAATAGATTGCCGTGCCGTTCTCCTTCAACGGACGTAAAATGACGTCGCAACGCAGTTTATGCGAGAGCCGGGGGCTTATGGGACCCGGAGTCCCGCCATAAGGTTCAATTACTCTTAAACGCATTTTTCTAAATGTGGAGGGAAAAACCAGAGGACCCGGAGAAAAACCCACATGACCACGGGGAGATCGACACGCAAACTCCAAATATACAGGCGGCAAGGTTGGGATCGAACCCATGTCCTCCCGCATACCAGGCGAGGTAGCTAACATCTCGCCACAGCTAACGTCTCCAGGTCGTTCAATATTCCCGTCACGGGATGAGTGACGATACCTTGATCTTCATGGTGGTGGGCGCCAGGGCGGTGATCTCCTTCTGCATGCGGTCCGCGATACCCGGGTACATGGTGGTGCCACCGGACAGCACGTTGTTTGCGTACAGATCCTTCCGGATGTCAATGTCGCACTTCATGATGGAGTTGTACGTAGTCTCGTGGATCCCTGCCGACTCCATCCCTACGATACAAACATCGACAAGGTGCGCGGTTGGTTCAATGCGACGATACAAGCCCCCACCGTCGCGAGCCATTGTCAGGCGCATGCGAGCGTTATTTTGCCCCAATTATATAGCGTGCCTCGTGGTGCCAATCAGACGCTTGGCACGCGACAGAAAACCGTAACCCAGTCTCATTATTTATTCGTCATAAAACGCGACTCGCCGACAGGAATGCAGCTCTTGAGTCAAGGGCTGGCTCTATCCCGTTGCTATTTCTTCTCGCGAAATGCAACTGCCACGTGTGCAATTACAGCGCGTGTCGTCGTGAATGAATTTTTGCGACGTATATGTCACAAACGGACCGACGTGGACACTGTATGGCTTCGGTTTAACACGAAGTAGGCCTTCGCGACCGATATCATCCATAATAAAGGTTTTAGTTGTTTTGGGTTAGATAGCGTAAATATAAATGTGTTCTTTAAACCCGCCGCCACTCGACACAGCCAATTTGTAAGGTTTGTCACGTAAACAGAACGTGCCAATCCGTTACTAGTACAGCACACTGATGCGTTGGAGTGTAAATCCACAACATTTAGAATCTGAGTAAATGTTATGGATGTTTTGGATTTGCTCTGCAACACACCGGTGTGCTGTACTAGTAACGGATTGGCACGTTCTGTTTACGTGACAAACTAATTGGCTGTGTCGGGTGGTGGCGGGTTTAACGACACATTTATATTTACGCGATCTAACCCAAGAAAAAACTCCATTATGGATTACTTCGCCTCACCAAGTGCACGCCTGGCGATGCGTGCGCGAGATTGGGGGGGGTGACCCCCTGGGAGTGATGGGGGAGCGTCTGGGGTCACCGATGAAGGACGGCTGGAAGAGCGTCTCGGGACAGCGGAAGCGCTCGTTGCCGATGGTGATGACCTGCCCGTCGGGCAGCTCGTAGCTCTTCTCGAGCGACGACGAGGAGGCCGCCATCGTCATCTCGTTCTCAAAGTCCAGCGCCACGTAGCACAGCTTCTCCTTGATGTCTCGGACGATCTCCCGCTCGGCTTATTTGGCGCACAAAAAATGAACGGCAGCGGCGGGCGTCAACAATGATCGGTTAAATTCACGAAGCGCCCTTAAACAATCGTTCTCGTGGAAAGGCGGAAAAGAGTTAACAACAACAACCCAGTAAACAAGAAGTGCGAAAGGGAGAAAATCATTTTCACACAAAATACGTTTTCAGTCTGGATCACCGTGCGTTACAAGTTGAAATAATGAATATTATTATCGACGATGAATGTTGACCTATACCAGGGGGGGGAGGGCACTTTCGCCGATAAGACATCATCGGTGTGACAGCGGCACGATGATGATGATGAGGGGAGTGTTGTCACTCTTTGTGTATTGTCAGGGGCCGCACTAAAGGCCACCAGGGGGCCGTCAGTGGCCCGCATTGGCCTTGCAACGAATAACCACTGACCCACACCACCGCGAGATCGATTCGCGTTATTTCCCATTTTATTTGGACATCGTGCTCCGTCAAGTACCTGTGGTGACAAACGAGTACCCTCGCTCGGTGAGGATTTTCATGAGATAGTCCGTGAGGTCGCGCCCGGCCAGATCCAGGCGCATGATGGCGTGTGGCAACGCGTAGCCCTCGTAGATTGGCACGTTGTGGGTCACTCCGTCGCCAGAGTCCAGCACGATACCTGGAGCAGAAACAAAAAAACATTTGGTTCGTGTTGAGGCCTGAGGACACTCCCATGCGTGGTTTCATGCCACTCAATTCTGAGCGTATTCTAACACGCAATGTGGTTTGCACCGCGCCTGCTATTTCGTCTGAATGTAACAATAGGGCGTGTAGCTTCATCCAGATGTTGCGGTGGAATGGGAAAATTAAACAGAATATAAATGATTCTGTCCACTTAAAAAAAAAGGGACAGAAATATTGTTTCGTAGTAGAGTAACATCTTTCTATTTCAAAGCCTATGATCCGAAAACATCTGTAAATGTAATCAACATTATATTTGTTTTTGCTGAGCTGTATTTAATTATTTATTTCGCTTCTACAATGGTCATCCCCAGTCTAATAGATGACTGTTTGATATCCCCTTTGTATATGAAACCATATTTACACTTGTATAACTCTTTACAGGAGACAAACTATCCACCGACACAGTATTATGTATATCCGTAACACGTCGCGGACATTGTGATATTGGCCCATTTGCTTCAAGCAATGTCCATGGTACATAGTCTAAGCATCAACAAAACCAAAACAAGATGTTATGGAGATGGATGGCAAGGTTATCTGCTACTGTACGCATCCTCCACTCGACCAGACGAAGTAGACATGCCTTTTCAGTATTACCAATGATAAGCGTTCTTACATAGAAATACCTCCATACCTTTCTCCGTTGATCTTACAGATAAGTCAAATGTCATGTTCATCTCACAGACATGTCAAATGTTACGTTGATCTCATGAACATGCCAAATGTTACGTTGATCTGACAGACATGTCAAATGTCATCTTCATCTCACAGACATGTGAAATGTTACGTTGATCTGACAGACATGTCAGATGTTACATTGATCTCATGAACATGCCAAATGTTACGTTGATTCATAAAGACACGGGCACGCGTTGGTGGTATTTTTCTTTGTTTTTTCAAACACCTCAAAGCACTTCGCCTTTTGCGAGAGCCGAAGCAAAAGCGAAAGGCCCTCACCGGTCGTGCGTCCGGACGCGTAGAGAGACAGCACGGCCTGGATGGCCACGTACATGGCCGGGACATTGAACGTCTCGAACATGATCTGGGTCATCTTCTCGCGGTTGGCTTTGGGGTTGAGGGGAGCCTCGGTGAGCAGGGTGGGGTGCTCCTCGGGAGCGATGCGCAGCTCGTTGTAGAAGCTGTGGTGCCAGATCTTCTCCATGTCGTCCCAGTTGGTGATGATGCCGTGCTCGATGGGGTACTTGAGGGTGAGGATGCCGCGCTTGCTCTGCGCCTCGTCGCCCACGTACGAGTCCTTCTGGCCCATGCCCACCATCACGCCCTGCACGCACGCACCACAAAGATCCCACCCCCCCGTGTAGCCTTAGCAGAGTGTCGGGGGCGAGTGCTGTCAGCCAGCAGCGCCTACGAAGGCCGCCGGCACTGTGGCACACGAGGGGGCGGGTGGCCAGAAACCACGCCCGGCCGCCTTTGTCTCCCCATTGGCAATGTTTACATAGGTACTCACTTGAGGCTGAGTCGACCCAGGGGAGGCCCGGGACAGGTTCAGGTATTCGACACGGTATGTTGGTGGCCGTGAGCGGGAATCAAACTCGGTTTGCTGGGCACGTAGCACAGAGAACTGACCGCTATACGACCGCTCCCCAAAGACAAGATCCCCCGTGTGGCCCTAACAGACTGTTGAGGCAAGTGCTATTAGCGAAGTGCACCTATGAAGGCTGGCGCTGTGGCACAGGAAGGGGTGGGTGGCCAGCACCACGCCCGACCGCCTTTGTCTCCGCAGTGGCGATGTTTTGACACACGGCACCAGGTACTCATCAGGACCGGTTCAGATGATCGTCACTGGTGTTGGTGCTCGTGATCGGGAATCGAACTCACTGGGAACATTGGGTTCGTAGCACAGCGCACTGACCGCTGCACCACCGCTCCCCACACTCGCGCACAGTGTGAGCCCACGTCAAACGCGTGGAGTTGTTGAAACCTCGCATTATTATCCGACTACCCGCAGGATTGTCGTGACAAGTTCCACACTGCCGTGGCAAGGCCCGGAGCGGTATTGGGACCGCTTTGCTTCATTTCCAGCAGAATTTCTGGAAATGAATCAGAGCAGTGAGCAGTGGCTCACAGGGATTGTGAAGGTGTCATCTTTCCCCGGGCACCGACAAGTCTAAGCTGGGGCTCTGAGAGACTCGTCTTGTCGCGGATATTTGTTCTCATTGTGTATGTGCAACTCGTCCTTCCCATATGAGGAAGCCACTGGAGTTATGCACTTTTAAATCATCTATATTGACAAAGGAACTGCCTTCAAACTGATTTTCGCGTTTAGTGTGTTGTCCTTACCCCACACCCCCGATTAGCAGGGACGGCTACGTACGGTGCGAAAAAAATTCAACATACCTACATACAACTCAACACACATGGTGTACATCTCCCTCAGAGACCACGCAGTGTCTCCAGCCCTCCAACAGAATGGGCTGCTATAGGAGGGAGTCATTGTTCTGGACTTGTTAGTCACTTTTCCAAGCTTCGCATGTGCAGTGTTAACATACACACCGTATGTTAACACACTGTGTTAACATACACACACTACAACTTAGGTCACATGGGCTACATAGGTGAGGCCCTCGTGAACCTATTTGAGTCGTAGAGATTACACTTTTTCTTAAGTGTTTTGTTCACCTTATCTGCATGTATTTATACATAAATAAGGTACATTTCTTGACCGTATGTATTTAAGTTAATGATATATAGTTAATGCTGCTGGTAATGCAGAGCATCCCTCTACTGTTCATCGAAGGATTCTAATCATCATGGGTTTCGACACTGAAATCCTGGTAGGTTACATTTGTAGAGATGAAGGAATCTGTACAGCTTACAATATTATTGAGAAATCAATCATCAAGTACCTACAGCCCCCTCCGACAGTGGCAGATGAACAACCTCACGAGCAGTGGTGGCCAAGACGGAGAGAGGGCTCAGGTCAAGGGGCCGTGGCACTTCGAGTGAAGCGAGACCACCAAAGGGCAGATGGAACCTCTCCAGTCGTGGCAAGGGCACCACCACGTCAGGGTAGTTGGGGCCCTGGGTCATACCAACAGGGACTACCCCAGGTAGATGAGGCTCCTGTGGGCCAATGGCACCAACTTCGTGGAGAAGATATCATGGGACGTGTTTTTTCAAGTACCAAAGTATGAAAAATAAGACTACATCTTGACTTAAAGCTTTCGTGACTGCAGGAATTCATACTCTTTGGATCTTTCGGTAAAAATCTAGATTTGAGTATGTCTTTCGGTAAAGTCACATAGACGTTTCGATCGCAACACAGAAAGGGTAAAAACTAAATTCTTATTTTGTTTTCATAGTGGTGGAGTAGAGGCTCCGTCTCATTGCTGTCACCAAACAGCAGCCACCAACCCACCCCACCGTGACGTGAGCTCTGATTAAAAAAAAACAACCCCGGCCATCCCGGCCGAGATGGGGCAACTGGCTAACATTGCGCGTCACGTGTCTAACAAAGGTGTCCGCGGGCCACTCCCAGACACTGCAACAACAACAACAAAGATTGGGTCGAGGCCCCTGACTCCCTGAATGTGGAGTCGGGGTTGCGTGCTAGAAAGGTAACTGAATTAAGAGAATAAATAATAAATATATGAAAAGATTTGAAGATTAACAAGAACTCAACCCAGGAACGCTTCACGAAGCAGATCGCGTAAACACGCTGCTAATGAATTTAAAAGCCGTTACATAAATATGTGTGTGGTCAGAGAGACAAGGTGGAGGGAGGCAAGTACAGTGAGGGAAAAAAAGTATTTGATCCCCTGCTGATTTTGTACGTTTGCCCACTGACAAAGAAATTATCAGTCTATAATTTTAATGAACAGTGAGAGACAGAATAACAACAAAAATCCAGAAAAACGCATGTCAAAAATGTTATAAATTGATTTGCATTTTAATGAGGGAAATAAGTATTTGACCCCCTCTCAATCAGAAAGATTTCTGGCTTCCAGGTGTCTTTTATACAGGTAACGAGCTGAGATTAGGAGTAAACTCTTAAAGGGAGTGCTCCTAATCTCAGCTTGTTACCTATATAAAAGACACCTGTCCACAGAAGCAATCAATCAATCAGATTCCAAACTCTCCACCAAGGCCACGACCAAAGAGCTCTCCAAGGATGTCAGAGACAAGATTGTAGACCTACACAAGGCTGGAATGGGTTACAAGACCATTGCCAAGCAGCTTGGTGAGAAGGTGACAACAGATGGTGCGATTATTCGCAAATGGAAGAAACACAAAAGAACTGTCAATCTCCCTCGGCCTAGGGTACCATGCAAGATCTCACCTCGTGGAGTTGCAATGATCATGAGAACGGTGAAGAATCAGCCCAGAACTACACGGGAGGATCTTGTCAATGATCTCAAGGCAGCTGGCACCATAGTCAACAAGAAGACAATTGGTAACACACTACGCCGTGAAGGACTGAAATCCTGCAGCGCCCGCAATGTCTCCCTGCTCAAGAAAGCACATATACATGCCCGTCTGAAGTTTGCCAATGAACATCTGAATGATTCAGAGGACAACTGGGTGAAAGTGTTGTGGTTAGATGAGACCAAAATGGAGCTTTTTGGCATCTACTCAACTCGCCGTGTTTGGAGAAGGAGGAATGCTGCCTATGACCCCAAGAACACCATCCCCACCGTCAAACATGGAGGTGGAAGCATTATGCTTTGGGGGTGTTGTTCTGCTAAGGGGACAGGACAACTTCACCGCATCAAAGGCACGATGGACGGGGCCATGAACCGTCAAATATTGGGTGAGAACCTCCTTCCCTCAGCCAGGGCATTGAAAATGGGTCGTGGATGTGTATTCCAGCATGACAATGACCCAAAAAACACGGCCAAGGCAACAAAGGAGTGGCTCAAGAAGAAGCACATTAAGGTCCTGGAGTGGCCTAGCCAGTCTCCAGACCTTAATCCCATACACAATCTGTGGAGGGAGCTGAAGGTTCGAGTTGCCAAACAGCCTCGAAACCTTAATGACTTGGAGAAGATCTGCAAAGAGGAGTGGGACAAAATCCCTCCTGAGATGTGTGCAAACCTGGTGGCCAACTACAAGAAACGTCTGACCTCTGTGATTGCCAACAAGGGATTTGCCACCAAATACTAAGTCATGTTTTACAGAGGGGTCAAATACTTATTTCCCTCATTAAAATGCAAATCAATTTATAACATTTTTGACATGCGTTTTTCTGGATTTTTTTGTTGTTATTCTGTCTCTCACTGTTCAAATAAACCTACCATTAAAATTATAGACTGATCATTTGTTTGTCAGTGGGCAAATGTACAAAATCATCAGGGGATCAAATACTTTTTTCCCTCACTGTAAGACGGTGACAGGTGATTACTGCTCAGACATCTTCTGCCCATTGAGTGTTAGCCGTGGCCAAGATTCAAACAAAGATCGGCAAGGTTAACAGCGCAGTGCTACCATGTCAGAACTATCCAACCGGTCCACCCGCCGCTGTAAATGCCCACATATGCATTACTTGAGACTATACATGTGCTAAAATCGATTGAAGAAAAATAGTAATTGCTATGCTACAATAAAAAAACAATAAAAATTCGGTGAATGTATGTTAATTTCAACTTCAGAACGACATCATTAACTCTGTTAAGAGTTATGAAACCACATATGAGACATCCATCCACAACTCTGCCAGACTTACACGTTCAGTAAAATAATGCATCAGTTTGGATGTTAAAGTCATGTTCACTATATTTTTAAATTTTAAAAAATACTGCATTTTATCATTATTATTTTAAAATGTCATAATTTATTCAAATACTTTTACTACTGAAATTAAAAATCAATAATAGATCACAAACTTCGCTATGGCCATCCATTTTAATGTGAATGATTTCTTATTACTACGAACACATTATAAACTCCCCGTGAAATGTCCACATCTTTCCCTTAAGAGCCTCATCCTACCCACATGGGTTCCCACTGCCACCAATACTCCACCACTATCCCTCCCCCCTGTCTTCCCGGCTCCTTCGGCATTCAAGAAGTGGACTTCCCTTCGCCAGGGATCTTCTCTTTTTTTAGCCACCCTGAGCCAGCGATGCCTATCCCTACATTCCTATTGCAAAGCGCCAGTCCATGTCACATCAACAATTCCCGTACGGACAAAAAGTGTCCGCACACCAACAACCGCGGAGAGATGACGACGATGGCCGAGTCGATGCCCGACCGGGATTCTTTTTTAGACGGTGGCCTTGAGATTGCGCCTCCGATTTGGCACGCTCGGCTATGCGCGGTTGCGAAAGAGGTCCCAACGTACGCTGCGAGACGGCCCCTGTGCCACAGTGCCACTCGGCCGGAGGCCCGTGATCTGCCGCGGACTCCAACGTTGACGTGGGCGAGTCCTCTCCAAATGTCGCACGCCCCCTCTAGATGCCCCAAACCACAACTTGATCTTGGAAGTCAATCCCCTTGTATGGCATTGAGTGGCACCAGGATATTGCTGGACCCCACCCCCCACCCTCCCCTATAGTCCCATCCCGCCCGGTCACCCAAAGCCCAGGAAACTTGCCGAGACGGGGCACACGAGCCGAGTTGAGGCTCAGGTGTTAGAAACTGAATACCATACGGCAGCTAAATACACAAAACAAAAATACTACATGACCGACTTTGAAATTATGAGGGAGAGAGAAAAAAAACCCCAATGTGAACAACTTTAAATAACGATTCGTCGTATCTCGATCGTGAGATCAAGAACATGTCACTATTCTAAAATCGCTCTCTATACTAGCGCACGATGGCATTAAGTGCAAGAGCCACGTGCCAATGGCGAGGTCTGCTAGCCACGAGAGGGCTTCGGGAGAGGGAGTTTGCGGCGTTTTACTTTGCCTCCTCCATTGAAGGAGTGCAGCCTACAGTGGTCTACTACACGGCCCGCGGTGTTGGGCCGCAACAAAGAGATGATAACCTGATTGCGGCCCTCCTGTTAACGTGTCTTCGCGTTACCTAGAATACAAGGAACATCGTGAAATCTCAGCGACACGGACATCGTTAAATGTTGATCCAAACATGCTCAGAGGAGCTACATTTCACGATACAAATCCCCGCGAGTGAATGTAAGGCACGAGGACTATGGGGGCCAAGCCCCAGGTCAGTGTAAGGGGGAATGCACGCGTGGCGGTCCAAGTGACCTCATGCCCATTACCTTTGTGGGTACGAGGAAGTTCAACCTCGTCCAGCTCCCGTAGTAGTTTCCCTTCGCGAATCTCAGTTAAATTCTAAATTCCAGTGGCGGTTCGGTTTTTTTTCCTTTCTAAAAGGGTATAATATGAACATGGAACGTGGCATCAGACTGCCACTTGGACATTGTTGAAACAGGGGCAAGGTTCGATACGTCGGCAGAGAAAGCTCCCTGGAGTTGTGCAACGCGACGACTGACACAGATTCACAGCGCGGCCTGTGCCGGATAGTAGGGAGTAAAGAGGCCTACGTCGCCTACAACGCCTTTTTTTCTCCTGGTGCTCGCACGTGCTTCTTCTGTTGAGCTGCAGACACCAACAATAGCAGCAGCAGGGCCTCTATAGAGTGGGGCTCCCATGCGCACCTCAACCTGGCCGTGGCTGATGACGCCACTGCTGTCAGCACCAGGACAAAAACAATACCTTTTACCCAATCTTACCCACCCCCTCCCAAAACCTATAGTATGTATACAAGCATATTAGGCACGTTTTGCAAGAAGCGCGTGTTTGTTTCTGAATACTTAACGTCAGGCGCAAAAGTAATGTTGCTGTTTGTACAGATGCATGAAGATCGATACGTGGAAACTGCCCGTTGTTACACCAGACTCTTCACAAGAGTCTCCTCGTGTAACACAACATAACTCACGGCCCATGAGCCACTCGACAGGGCAAGCCCATGTGCTTAGCGAATCACAACGCAGATCGCCGGTTCATATTTGATTTCTTGGGCAGATCGTGTGAGTAAAATGGATGTGATACACCCTCCCGTAGCCGACAGACAATTTATAAAGTTGCCTCCCATATCCCGGAGTGCTGAAGCAGACACGAATTGGCACGTTTGTTCACGTGACAACTTCATTAATTGGCTGTGTCGGGTGGAGGAGGGTTTACGACACAACATTTTTACTCACGTGATGATCCCAAAAAATCGATTTTTGATCACAAAAAGTCTAGGCTTTAAAATTAAAATACAGATTGTTGATTGTGATTCTTGAGCCATTATTCAACCACCAATGAAAAGGGATTAACGATGGGATGGATTTTGTGGCAGATTGATTAAGAGAGACCATTACATCATAATGCTGTATTCATTGTGGCTTATCTCAACAGTCATCATTACCCTTGTACGCTGCATTGTATCAAAAGAGGAATAGTTACTGTGTAAAGGCTTATCTTACTTACGCTAACAAATCAATATGAAAATCTGTAAATGCATATATATTACAGCTGATAACTAAAACTGAACTATTGGTGTATACTCTACTTGTAAAACTTTAAAATTAATCAACGCAAAATACCCTAATGAAACTTGCCTGATAAATTCACCAAATCGAAAATATATTTATTCAACCTTAATTTGTCATTGAACTATATTGTGTGTAAGGTATACATCACAAAATAAATTGCGCGTTATTTTATTTCAGAAAAAAAATCCCAGCTCAGCCTATCACATCAAGTATAACAACCAGCGAGTGTACTCTACGTGTTCACTCCGATTTACACACAAAAGACAAAGATCCCCCGTATAGCCTTAACAGACTGTTGGGGCAAGTGCTGTTAGCAAGCACCCATGAAGGCCTGCACGGCACACGAGGGGGTGGGGTGGCCAGCATCACGCCTAGCCGCCTTTGTTTCCCCAGTGGCGATGTTTACACAGCGCACCAGGTACTGATTTGAGGCCGAGTTGACCTAGGGGAGGCCCAGGACCTGTTCAGATAATCGTCACTGGTGTTGGCCGTGAGCGGGAATCGAACCCGGGTGGCCAGGTTCATAGGTACCGCTACACTACCGTTCCCCACTGGAGGGTCCCGACACACACACACTCACTAACAACTCACACACACAACTCACACACAGACACTCACTAACAACTCACACTCACTCACTCACAACTCACACACAGACACTCACTCACAACTCACACACACGTACTCACTAACAACTCACACACACTCACTCACAACTCACACACACACACTCACTCACAACTCACACACAGACACTCACTAACATCTCACACACACACTCACTAACAACTCAAACACAGACACTCACTAACAACTCACACACACACTCACAACTCACACACGTACTCACTAACAATTCACACACACACACGGCGTGGCTGAGTCGTTGTTCAGGCCACAGCAGTCCATCTGCTTGCGGTTGGCTCAGTCTCCCTGCGCGAATCGCGACAAAACTCGGCAGGCTTGGCGGCCACAGAGACTCCGTGTCGACGGTGGAACAACGCAGCTTCCAGCGTGCCTCGTTTCAGAATCTCTATTTGCACTGGAGGGATCCGATGCGCTAGAAAGCACCCCAAGGTCACTCAGTAGGCGTCATAGAGCGATGCCCTTTTGCTGGGTTTCCAAAAAAAAAATCCACCCGAACTCGAACTCGGTCTCTTCTGCAGCATTCGCAGCGTACTAGTAAGCCCCCCCCCCTCGCCCCCACCCACCGGCTTTGAAGCAACGCTGTTAAAATCCCCTTCGTTGTCTCTCTAACCGCGTGGTGAGGCCACCAGCGACCAAGGTTGTGCGTCTCCCGACAGAGCAGTGTCGACACCACACACACTAAACAAACAAAAAACCGCTCTCTAAATCCCCCCAAAAAGATATATTTTTAAAAACCCTAACCACACCGCAAAAAACAACGGCAGGTGAACATTGCCTCCCCGCGTGCGCGCGTCTCTCTCTCTCTCGTGTCACGCGCTCAGCTCTGAGAGGTGGACGGGGTGGCGATGGCACGGGACCCAACGTTACCTGATGTCTGGGCCGACCCACGATGGAGGGGAAGACAGCACGGGGGGCATCGTCTCCCGCGAAGCCCGCCTTGCAAAGTCCAGAGCCATTGTCGCACACCAGAGCCGTCGTCTCCTCGTCGCACATGATGATGGTGGTGGTGGTGGTGGCGGTGGTGGTGGCGTTGGTGGCTGCTGCTGCTGCAATAGCCGTGCAGGTGTCACACAATGCGTCAGACTTGTGCCACCGCTGGTTTTAAAACATCAACCTTTTTTTAAAACATCAACGTTTTACAACATCAACCTTTTAAAACATCGCGGTCCACCTTGCACGTTATTCCCATAACAACAGCAGCAGCTAACACGAGGAGAAGTTTTCCTGTACAGGTGATGCCAATTTAAGTGACATCGAACCAAGAAGTATCGCTTGCACAACACCCGTTGCTATTCCATTTGCTGAATTGAAATTAAATGCAGATTGTTTGAGCAGTCCTCACTGTGCACATGCCGTTTTAACAGTGCAGGTTTACATTTGTATCACGTTTAAATGCACACACACGCACGTGTGTCGACAATTTCAACAGCTTAAAATGTTGTGGGGGTTTTTTTTAGCCAGTCGCTCAACTCGTACAATCGTGCTGTTGTCGAACTTGGTTTTTGATCGAATTCTAGCTTCTAACAACCCCACAGTACTCAGAGCAGAGCTTGTCAGAGAGAGCGTGTGCTACCCAAATCCACAAGCAAACCGGGGACAAAAAAATCCCCCTCGATGCACCGCCGTGAGCAAGCACTGCCACCAAAATAAAATGCGCCCTTTCTTACCTTTTCCACGGCTCGTTTTTTTTATTTTTCGTGTGCGAGAGATTTCCGAGGCGAAACAGTTTTTGGTGGGGCGTTTTGACCGCGTGCTCCCCGTTTTTATACCGTCACCCACACGGCTGCATTCCGCGTGCGAAATACTTTCGCGAGAACGCCAGATTCCCCAGGACGCCTTATTTGGTAGCCGCCCGCCACGCTTCTGCGAGGAGGCGGGAGAGAAAAGGGAAAAAAAGCCCATTAATGGGCAAGGTCTCTCGCACTGTAAGGTCATTTATTATTTTAGTTTTGAATAGCAATTACAAGGGAACGATTTCCCTAAAAGGACACCTTCAAACAACTGTAACCCCCCCCCCACCACCACTTTTTCATTTTTGCTGAGAGTGGAAACCAAACGGTAGGGGCGGAATACAACGAGATATCAACGCTGCGACGGGGGGGGGGGGTGTCAATGCTGCAACGTGACAGCCGAGAACGACGACTTCTCGTCGGAAGAGAAAGTTCCCACCCAAGCGTCGCCCATTTGGCGAAGTGTGCTCCCGCTGCTCGCCGCTAACGACTCGGTGTGGAATAGAAATGCGTTGAGCGGCTGTTGTTGTTGTTGTTTGAATTTGTGTTTGTTAACAGCGGCGAGATTTTAAATGGGCAGATGAAACGTGAAAATGCTGCAGAGGGCATTCATCTCGCCATGGTGGCGAGGAGATGTTAACTACCTTGGCCTGGTGCGTAGGAGGCCGTGGGTTCGATCCCGACCCTGACGCCTGCTGCTGTATATTTGGAGTTTCTCTCTCTCTCTCCCAGTGGCCGCGTGGATTTTTCTCCGGGTCCTCCGATTTTGCCCTCCACATTTAGAATCAACGTCACGCGTTTAAAGCATTAGGCTGCTCTACATTTCCACGCGATAAGCCACTTCATTGAGCTATCATTGGTGGCCAGGCCGCTTCTGAACAAGAGAAACCAAACGGTAACGATACACAGCTCAGTGGGCCTGACCTGGCAAGATAAATATATTTCGTCGTAAAGTCATAGTTTAAACCTAAACTAATTGGAGGGCCTTAATGTCCTTTATGGGGGATGTCCCGTGAACTGCAATTGCATAACTCCTCTTGTCTGCAACTCGACTATCCGCGAAAATATGAAACATAGTCGAGTTTCATTACTACATGTATTTTTGTTCATTCGTGCAATAATACATTAACTTATTCGTTAATCCATCAATGTATTAATTACTCTTTGGTTCTTTCGGTAAAGTCACGTAGGTGTAAAATAAAATACATTCAATTAAATCACATTTATTAATTCATTCAGCAATGTAAGCATAACTCGATGTATCCATTAATTAACGTTATCCGTTCATAAATTCAACCATTCATTCACCAATGTATTCACTCATGTTATCCGTTCGTCCAGTCACCAATTCGTGCATGCGTGAATTCACGTTAATCACGAATTCGTGCGAGCTTCGGTTGCCTTCGACGTGGCCAGCCAACCCCGTTGCAGTTGGTGCTTGCGATGTTTCCGTCCGCACAGCGTGATTTCAACGTGACCACCCCGAGTCGTGGACCACTGCGTTCGGCAGTCCGATGCATAGCCAGCGCCCTGTGCGCTGGCTATGCCAAGAGCGCCCTATTGGGCAAGGCCGAATTAACGGTGCTCAGAGCGAGCGTGCTACCATGCACATGCATGGCATCTAACGTATAATATCGACTTGTATTCACTCACTCTCGAACACAGAACGACACGGAGGCACGAGGAGGAACCACAGAAAAGTGAGAAGGCAGATATGGCCAGACAGCGAGCCGGCTCTACCAACAATTGCCCGAGCTCTGCAGTCCCCTATATATTGAGATGTCATCGACCAATTAGAGTGTTTACATGTGGGAAGAAACTGGAGAACCCGGAGAAAACCTACGCGTGCGGCGGGGAAGCACTCTATCCCACACAGACGGAACACGTGGAGTCCGCATGATTGCTGTACTGCATTCTCCTCGATGCCCACCCACGGCGTAGGGAGGTTTGCAACATCTGTGCGATCCATCCAAAACCGTCGCTGCTGGATTACAAGCCACGTGCATATCCACCATCACCTGCACAGAGGCGGAGTACAAAGCCACCGGTTCTTTCTGCATCGTGCAATCCTCGTGAGTTCAGTGCCCAGCTGTGGCCGCTGACCCCCGTGACGCACAGCTCTTGTCGCCTGCCCTCACTCACCCGCTCGGGTCACCGCTGCAGCAAATCCAAACAGAAGCCTCCACGGCTGCCCTCACTCATTGCCGCTGAACACGTTGCCCTTGTACTGCGCACATGGCTTGTGTCTGACACCGGAGAGTTTCATCATCATCATTACTATCATCATGAAACTTTTGCCACAAGTTCTGTGTGTGGTTAATGCAGACTTGATGCCTTGCAAAAGGTATCGATTCGGTGTTCGAACACCTTAACACCTGTACAATTGCCAGAAAAGGTGAAACCTATTATTATTTTTCATACTTTTGAATAAGGTAAAAACAGGTATTCCATAATATAACTGCTTGACCCGAGCGATGTGTTCTGATACCGGCATTGTCTTTGTACTGTCCCCCTATTGTCGTTCTGTGGTCTGACAATTGGTGGGACTCGGCCATGAAGAAGTTTGTCTCTGGTGTAGGCCGATCAGTTCCAAAGGCACTGAGTAGATTCCACGATGTAACACGATGCAACACGATGTAACACGATGTATCACGATGTAACACGATGTAACACGATGTAACACGATGTAACACGATGTAACACAATGTTTGCTCCTGGCTACTAAGTGTCATCTTTTTTTAATCGCTATTGCCTAAGAAGAATAGAAAATGGCTATAATTCCCCACAAAGCTTTTGTGACCAGGACTTTACGTGAGCGAAAGACACAAATGCACACCACGTTTTCTCATTGAAAATAGGTCAATAAAAAAATATCACTGTCCTGGTAACAAAAGCAAATTTTGTGGGCAGTAATCGACATTTTGTGTACTTTTGGGGGCATAAGAAATTAGGAAATGACATTTACTGCCCAAGAACAACATTTTTCTTTGTTACACAGTGTTATCAGAGCATATTTGCTTGCGTGTTGACCACAAGCACCGTGTGTGGTTCATGCAGTACTTGATGCCTTGCAAAAGGAATCCATTCGGTGTTTGCACATCTCAACACAACTGCTGTTTTATTGCCAGAAAGGGCGAAACCCATTATTACCTTTCACCATTCTATTATCACGATTGGCTCCTGTGGTGACACGGCTCTCTGAAACCCGTTCAGTGGCACCCAGCGCCTATTGACATCGTTTGAAACGTTTCCTAATTTGAGACGTCTTTACTTTCGTGACTTTCACAACGATGTCGCGATGACTGTCGGGCCAAACTGTAGGAGGACCGTGCCGGATGGCTGAGCTCATTTGGAAGGGATGCAGAGGAGGGGTTGCAGGGTGGGGGGAATGGAGAAGATTTTGGTGGTGTCCGAGGGAAACCTTTCATGGCGTTTGTTTGGGACAGCGCGGCACGGGTGTAGGGCTGCTCAGCCGTGTGCGAGCGGCAGTAAAGAAGGCGATTGTGTCTGACGATGGTGATGATGACGAGAGGGAGTTGGCAGGGCCACCCATTAAGGTTCCCTGGAGGTCCGGGACAGCACCCCGCGAGTTTCCTCCCCCCCCCCCTCCCCGTATTTCCATTCGTTCGCTTGGTTCAAGGCGTACATCCAAATTGCCTTTCGCCACGCAACGTTCTCCGATTTAAAAATAAAAAACCCGACGACGACGCGTTTATTGCAACAATTCTATTCGTGAAATTTTTCGATCGCAACATTTGCGAGGCCTGGCACGAAGCGCCTCTCGTCCCCCACCTTCGTCGCGCCGCGAAGGGATGACCTCTATACTCTTTGGTTCTTTCGGTAAGGTCGCGTAGGTATAAAATAAAATAAATTAAATCACGACGTTTCGGGCGCAACACAAGCGTCCGTCATCAGATGGGACAACCACAGCAAGAAACAATTGCTGAAGTGGGCAAAAGGGCTGCTTGTAACAAGAGCCTATATAGGTAAGGTAAAAATACTTGAAATCTAGATGGAATGACCTCTATTTCTTATTGTACCGTACCCGAACATCGAGTGGGACACATCAACCTCACCGTGCCTGTGTGGCCCTTCCCTGTTCAGTTGCTCAAGGCAGCTCTAGAGATCCCTTCTAGAGGGCACTTTGGCTGACTCTTACACACTGACTATGCATCCGAAAGAGGTGAGAGTACACGTGATAAGCCACCTCGTTGAGCTTTGTGGTCAGGTCAATTCTGAAAAAGAGCTACGTAGCTGAAGTGGACCTTACCTGGTAAAATAAAAAAATATATATATAATTTAGTTTTAATTTAAATATATTCACTGTGGGGGTAGTGGATCTGTACGTGGTGAACATGGGCACAATGTACGGCGTCGAGTCACACAAGGCAACAATGATGTTATGGGCCACAATGTACGGTGTGGAGTCACACAAGGCAACAATGATGTTATGGCCCACAATGTACGGCGTAGAGTCACACAAGGCAACAATGATGTTATGGGCCACAATGTACGGTGTGGAGTCACACAAGGCAACAATGATGTTATGGGCCACAATGTACGGTGTGGAGTCACACAAGGCAACAATGATGTTATGGGCCACAATGTACGGTGTGGAGTCACACAAGGCAACAATGATGTTATGGGCCACAATGTACGGCGTAGAGTCACACAAGGCAACAATGATGTTATGGGCCACAATGTACGGTGTGGAGTCACACAAGATAACAATGATGTTACGGGCCACAATGTACAGAGTAGAGTCACACAAGGCAACAATGATGTTATGGGGCACAATGTACGGCGTAGAGTCACACAAGGCAACAATGATGTTATGGGCCACAATGTACAGGAGTAGAGTCACACAAGATAACAATGATGTTATGGGGCTCAATGTACGGCGTAGAGTCACACAAGGCAACAATGATGTTATGGGGCACAATGTACGGCGTAGAGTCACACAAGGCAACAATGATGTTATGGGGCACAATGTACGGCGTAGAGTCACACAAGGCAACAATGATGTTATGGGCCACAATGTACAGGAGTAGA